TTAATTACTGTAACTATTCGTTCCTTGAATTCATACCTGTTGCTTCACATAACAGCTACCTCAAGGTACCAGTCTATGAAGCATAAAGCAACATTGTTGCTATAAGATAAAAAATTAAAATCACACTCAGTTTCAGTATATAAAAGTCCGAGATAAATATTCCCTATTTTGTTGCAGAAGAACAATGATATCGCATGTTCATTCACCCAACTAGCGTTAAGACGGAATCCATCCTGACAAACAGTCCAACGACCTCTAGTTTCGGGAAAACTCATTTAAAAATAGATTTGAAAACATTCACATCATCAAATACAACCGCAGGTCACGTCCTGTAATGGCTAATAATTTTATGTTAAAAAACCTGAGTCTCGCGAACAATAATACGAAAGAACAATAATGCATTACCTTATTCAATATGCGTAGTTACAGTTCCGAGAACAGCGAATAAAAATGCGATGATAACGAGGAAAAAATCGCGTGATAACTTATCGTGGCACTGTTACACTGTTGCATTGAGCGACGCAAGGGTAATGGGTCCCTGTTGTTGGGCGGCGTATAATTCCTTTCTGGGCACGAATTTAATATACACCTGTATCGAGCGGTATCCAAGTCCGGGCTCGCGGCAGCGAATTCTCGGAAATCTGACGTTTACGCACACAAACAGGCCTGGATACGGAGCACCGATGTAAAGAAAAAATAAACTAGTGACGTACGCCCCGAAACGAATAAATCGAATGTGTTGAATATTCAAGAATGAATCGATAAAATAAATTGTAATTAATGAAGTAAAAAATTGTGATATTTTTTTTTATGGGAATCGGAGCCAAACGAGCATGCGGGTCACCTGGTGATAAGCGATCACCGCAGCCCATGGACATTTGCAACATCGGTTGAGTCGCAATTGCGTTGCCGGCCTTTAAGGTAGGAATAGTCTCTCTTCTTGAAGGTGGGCTTCTAAGTCGTATCGGTCTGGAAATACCGCTGGCGACAACTCGTTCCACAAAGTAGTTGTGCGGGGTAGAAAGTTTCGTGAAAAACGCACTGTGGTGGCGCGCCAACCATCAAGGTGGTGTCGATGGTACTTGGCGGTTTGACGAGTTGTACAATGGTGAAATTCACCAGCAGGTATCAACCCAAACAATTCCTCAGAGCACTCCCCATGATATATCCGATAGAAAATGCATAGGGATGCAACATCCCTACGCAAGGCCAAAGAATCGAGGCGATCGGACAGGATTTGGTCGTCGACGATTCAAGCAGCTCTTCGTTGAATGCGATCAAATAGAAGGAGCTGGTATTTCGGTGCCCCAGCCCAGAGGTGAGAACAGTATTCCATGTGAGGCTGAATCTGTGCTTTATAAAGCTGCAACCGATGTATCGGCAGGAAATACTGTCTCGCTCGGTTTAGTACACCGAGTTTTTTAGAAGCCAGATTGGCTTTTCCTTCCAAATGACCGCGAAATTGAACGCTGCTCGATATATCGACCCCAAGAATTCCGATCGAATCGGTGGATTAATAATATTAATAGTTTTATTAATTAATTAAATTATTAATAATTAATTAACTTAGCTATATAAGCTTTTGTTAATGAGGGATGACATAGTATTTCAAAACCTCAATGACTCGGTGGCGCCGTTGTTAAGTGATTGGCTTTGGCATTGGAGGAAGTATTTGTGTGACCCACGATACAGGTTCCACAGATAATTATTTCAGATCTGGGTATTTGTTTCGTCAGGCAGTCGTAAAAAACATAGCCAAAACCGCTTACAACATGTTAAGCCGACCGCAGATGGGATAAGGACAGGAAGAGATAATGATAATATTTTAAAACCACATAGACGTATCACCGAAACACAAATATAAAGGATGTGTATTGTGATAGTATTATTAATTGTATTATGAAAATACTAAGCTAAATTTCAGAATTATTAAAAACGATATTTTGATTTAACAAATCGTTAATACTGATAACAGTAACAAAGACCACATCCACACTAAAAAACGCAATGACCAATGACGATAAAGTGAACATTGCTAATTTTCGCTTATGTCAACAATAATAACTGTGATGTGTATTCTATTCAGCTTAAGTTTTCTAAAATTATTTGTTTTAAATTGTTTTATTATAAAACTGTTTTACGCAAATATCTTTAAATAAATAAATAAATAAATCTTTTAACGTTCTTTGTTCTTTCTAGCAAAGTCATTGTCACTGTTTTGTTAAGATATGAGAATGTTTAAACTTTGTGGGGTTACATTGCTGCAAAATAAGTTTCGTTATGTCTAACCCTAAAGTGAACTACCCCCAAATAACTTAATTTCAAACCTGTTATCCCGGTCGGTACGGCTGCACCTCATACAATTTCTTGGTAAACGTACGTTATTTTATATGTCAGACACGTCGTTTTCCCGCAGTAATGTATATTAATAACAAATGTGAGCTGCAACGCTTGTTTCCGTATTTCGTTACCGAACGACGTTTTATTTTTAATACTGATTTTTAAGCTCATAACGTCATAACTATAAAACCTTTTGGTGACTTCAGCGTCTTGTGACTAGATAGGGCATTAAAATATTTTAATTGAAAAATAACTAATATTAATCATGCTTATTTTTCAAGTCAATTCCGTTTTATAAGTCTAACGTCCGGTTTTTGAAACACTGATCATCGTAGAACTTTACTAATCAGCTTTCAAATGTCATTCTGATTATTCAGATCATTCTGATCAATTCGAGAGAATTTTACCATCCTTTTGGTAACTCAAATGGCATTTGAAAAGCCATTTGACAGCTGATTAGTTAATTCCTACGATGATCAGTGTTTCAGAAACCGGGCGTAAGACTGACCTTCGTAAACTTAACATAATATACAGCGTGTCGTTACCATCGCGACAATAAATGAACACACATATAGGGGATAACTTTTTAAAGTTGTATTAAACATTTAAATTCTCTAAACATCAATATTTACAGAGTTATTAAATTTTCCAAAACAAAGAATTTTAGAACACCCTTACCTATAAAAGCGTAACGTAAAGTTCATTTGTAAAGGTCACAAAGCATTATGAATGGGTTGAATGAATTTAAAAGAGACAAAACATACTGTTAGAAGGAGAGACTTTTAATACGACGCTGTGGCGCGAGTTGTATAGGATGTTACAAATTTTGTTTCTTTTTTACTTAATTAGTTTGTTTGAAAAATATTTTTTTTAATTATGGACTTTGTTTAACGTTTATATTTTTTTATGATTATTGGTAAGTAGCGTTAGACGTGTTTTCATTTATTGTCGCGATGATAACGACACGCTGTATTTTAGCGCCACCGACTAGTAAAAAGGATGTGTAAATCATTAAGATTTCGAAGTACCACAGATTTGAATAAATTTATAGATACTTTATGCCTTTACGATTACACGTATCATAAGATATGACTTATGACTTGAGGTTACTTTCAATTCTGTTATGACCTTGGTGATTCAAGTATTATCTTTTTAAAATTTGTAGAAAAGGTATGAAAAGATGGTCGCTGCTGTGGGAATCGAACCCACGTCTTCGGCATCCGCGGCCTGACGCTCTAGCCACTGAGCTAAACGGCTGATTGCCACACCGAAGAAAATCTTAACGTCTTTTATCTACATTGTTTTTTAGCATTTGAAGCAATGCAAGCAATTTGAATTTTCTACAAATATTAATGTTCAATCTTTAGTGCAAAGATAAGCACTATAAAAAATTTAAATTACTATCTTTTTATATTATTTCGCAATGTGTTTTTTCGGTAGATACCTACGTTATAATAACTTCCATAATTCTTCATCAAATTTAATGATTCAAACACCATTTTATTATATAGCTTATTTATGCCGAATAATAGGCATGAAAATATAAGATGATTCAATGTAAGACCAATAAAAAAGGGATGGACAGATCACGGAACATTGCGCTCATATAAGTGACGCAAGTAATATGAAGACGGCAGTCTGCTGATATCAATGATGTTGAATAATCATTGGCTGCTAGCGAGTGAGAGTGCAAGACGTAGTTTTATTAAAATTATAATTGCGAGAGTATGCCCTTTTTTTGAAACTTAAAATCCAAATCATATGAATCATAGAAGATAACAGTTAGCGCGACATTCACATTATGATTTCTTCCAAAGATTTTTCAGACAAATTAATAATTGAACACTAACTATAAACTTCACGGATCGCAACAAAGTCCGAGCTATCTTCGCACAACTGAGACCTATTTGGCAGTCACAGAAACTGACCCGAAGGATCAGTTTCTGTGACTGAACACAAAATCTTCGGGTCGAATGTCTTTTCTAAAGAGCTGATTTAAAACTAAATGGAAGAAGTAGTAGTACCAACACTGGTAACTCCTAGTTTAAAAAATCCAAATGAAAAACGAACCAACTATCTTTCTTTTCTACAATCTATATTCATACCAAATAACCCTGTGGAGACTTAAAATGTTAATGTAAAATGTATATCATATACGTAATTTTAAATTAAAAGCAAGTAGAATATAATTAAAAAAAAACTAAAAGACCCCACTGCGTTTCTGTGTAATTTTTTATTTTGATATACCCAGTGTCACTCACTCCCCCAAGCTAAAATCCATCAAGCCTTTCATGCTGCAGAGCGTACCAAACAATTATACATACATACATACTCTCGAAAAACAACCCTCCTTCTAGCGCAGTCGGGTTTTTTCCACTTAGAGTTCAATCAAAATCAAAATTTCTCGCATTTCTGTTTTGATTCATGCCTCATATGCGTTATTTATTCGCATTTATTTTTTACTTTTATGTAAGAGTAGCCCAAAAAGGATATTTAAAATAACACATGCTACAAAAGTTTTTGTTACACAAAAGAAAAATCATGACTGAGGAAATTGACAGATGACATTGTTAGCCGTAATTCAAAATTCTACCGAGTGTTATCTTTTAATATAATTACAAAAAAAAGTAAAACATTCATTCAGTACCAAATAAATTGTTATGGACAAATCTAAAGTTATAAAATTGAACAATAGGTATGTAATTTTTTTATAACAATCTATCAATGCCTCTTCTTTTAAATAAGTCTCTTCTGTACTTGATTTCGGCATTAGTGTCAGATACGGTTTTACTAACCCTATGTTTTTGCAACACTAGCTTTACAACTTGCGCGTTCGGTCTGATAAGTAAGAAAAAACACTTTTTCATTGGTTATTTTAATACGGGAGAAGCTGGAAAAATTGGGGACGGTTAACATAATGTGTATGTGAAGTTTATTACGTAAGTTGCTTAGTCGACCATTATAAATGTGGTCCGAAGAATTTTTTTTGATTTATGTGGCTAGCGAGCTGGCGGTTCACCTGATTAATGATTAATGCTGTTAAGCGATAATCACCGCCCTTTGCAACACTCGTTGGGTTGCAGTTGCGTTGCCAGCGTTAAATAAAGTGGCCCCGGCTACGTTCAACAATTCTTTTTTTTTTTTTATGTCAATGTGTTCTTCGGACTACATTTATAATGGTCGACTAAGCAACATACGTAATAAAAATAAAATTCATGGATGATATTAGAAACACACACATTATGTTAACCACCCTCGAACTTTCCAGCTTCTCCCATATTAAAATAACCAATAAAAAGTGTGTTTTTTTTAGTTCAAACAATATTTTAGCGCAAACAACAATATGATTCAAAAGAATCGAGATCTTAAGATAAAAAAGGCATAACAAAAACGGAACATAAAAAAACTCATTATCATACCAACCTTAAATTTTTTTATATTCACATTATTTTTTTAATGCCAAATGATGCCCTAACTGACAAGTTTTCTGGCGTTGCATGTCGAATTCTTGTCGGTTCTTCTCTGGACTGGTATAGTATAGTGAACAGGTGATAGTTTTTGACATTCAATAAGAGTTTAAAATAAGCCCATAAAGAAATTTTGACTTTAACTTTGGATATAACGCAGTTATTTATGCTATATCTAGGGCGTCGTTCAAAGGGCAAACCAAAATACAATCTGGCACTGTAACAATGCTACCGTCAATTCGCAGCGCTGCAAAGAACTGCGTGTCGAAGTCCTGGACCCACAACAGGACGACGGAGACTCGAGGATCTGGGCCTAAAGCTACGCCACGTTTGCAAGGGCGAAAGTGCGTACCAAAGTACCCCTCTTTCAACCTATTCCGAAAAAGGAGGCTCTCAAATCGATTGTATTGTTACTTAACAGCCGCTTGGTTAACCGGTTTGGGCCAAATTTTCATATTTACTGTATAATTATGTGTTTATGTTTTTAGAAAAGTAAGTCTGATATTAAGACTTATGTTCGATGGCAGGGGATTTCCATTTTAAGCACTAACTTCTATTAGACACAAAATATCCCACAGCTGGGCTCAGCAATCCGTGATAATATACCCTACTATAAATGTAGGGTATAATTTATTTAGTAGGTAGTCTAGCCCGCCCAGCACCGAAATTCAGACTTCGCGAGTATCTTGTATTTGTTAGGGTTCCGTATCCAAAGGGTAAGACGGGACTGTCTGTCTGTCCGTCCGTCTGTCACCAGGCTGTATCTCATGAAGCGTGATAATTAGACAGTTGAAATCACAGATGATGTATTACCGTCACCCCTGTAACAACAAATACTAAAAAGAGTCCGATTTACACTTTTTTTCTCTTTGATATGCCGATTACCTCAGACAATTCGACATAACAGAACCGTTGTGCTATCCGTCTATGACAACTTCCAGCGGAGCGAGACAGCCATGCGCTTACTGCAGCTCCTGGCTTAGCGCTTCCACCGATGCTGATTCGAGGGCCAAGGTCAAAGACTGCCCCGCGCCCCGAACTACCCCGTAAGATTATCCACAGTTAAAATTATTTAAATCTGATATTGGGTACAACTATCCAGCAAGATACATCACCATCGTCCATCTGTTTTAGTCCACTGCTGGACATAGACCTCCCCTCCTCACTGCCACCAAGCAAGATCCTGAGTCATCAGCATCCATCGACCTCCCGCACACTTGCACAGGTCGTCGCTCCATCTAGTGGGGGGTCGTCATAACCTAACAGGGTCAGTACGAGGCTGCCAATTGAAGATCTCTTTACCCCAGCGTTTATAAATAATTCTACAAGCTAAAGGGCAAGATCATTTAAGAACTACCTCATCATTCATCATTTCAACCTGTTTGAGTCCACTGCTGAACGTAGACCTTCCCTCCTCACTGCCACCAAGCACGATCCTGCGAGCATCCATCGACTTCCCTCACACTTGCACCGGTCGTCACTCCATCTAGTGGAGGGTCGTCCTACACTGCGATGGCCAGTAAGAGGCTTCCACTCGAGGGCCTTCCTAACCAATCGGTTATAGTTCTACGAGCTATAGGGCAAGATTATTTAAGAACTACCTAAGGATATTTTATTGTTAAATGAAACTATTTTACGGCTTTTATCGCGTATAATTAGATTTTTAAATTCTTTTTTAAATTTTACTAAAAGGTCATGGGCAGTGTAGTTGAAGTAAAATTAGTTGTTAATGATAATTTTATCATCTATAAATAACAATGTTCTGTCTGTGTTGTAAGGACGTTTTACAAACATAAATTTCCCGTGGACAAACACCCAGATGCGAAACAACTATCTGTGGGTCACACAAATGGTTGTCCCGTGTGGGAATCGAACCCACGAACACACGCCGAAGCTAATACCTTGGCAACTGCGCCACGGAGTCAAGATTTTTTTTTTATGGAGAAAAGGGGCAAACGAGCAACTGTAACACAATTCGTCTGTTTAGGTGTTTAGGGACATGTTTGTGTGGAATGACAATTTTTTTGTATGAAATGCACGGGCCTCTATATCCTTAATGTCATGCTCTCATAGCACCAAGAGGGATGCTCCAATTGCCAAGCGTCTCGAGCCACCGACATCCGGTCCGAATCCCTACGCGCCCCACCTGAAGTACGGCATATTCCCGCAGAACCGGTAAGCCTGTGTTATTTTTGGGTTGCGTACCTAAAGGGTAAAACGGGACCCTATTTTTAAGACTCCACTGTCTGTCTGTCTCTTTGTCTGTCAGCAGGCTGTAACTCATGAAACGCGATAGTTAGACAGTTGATTTTCACAGATGACGTATTTTCGTTGCGCTTCGCTATAACAGAATAAAAAAATATTTAAGTGGGGTTCAATACAACAGACGTGACTTTTTTGCCATTTGTACGGAACCCTTCGTCCGACTTGGCCGGTTTTTAATGCGAATCACCAGCTTCTCATACATATCAAAAATAAAACTTTTTTTTGTATTTTTCGTAATACAACGACGCTCAAAATTTGACAATGAAAATATAACGAGACAGACTTCCTGTTTGCTTTTAAGATCATTTATTTATTGCCTATTGAAGATCAGTATTTTTTCACTGTTTCATTTTTAGTGCTAACCCTTACTGAATATGAAAAATTTCAACTGTGGTGGTGCCACGCAACAGACGTTTCTGTTGCTCGAATGCGCTGGTCCGTCCGGGGAAGTACCTCGACCTCACAGAAGACCTGCGTGAAATGGAAGTGGAAGAATGGTGTGACGGAGAGAACAGATAGAACGTATATGAAAATGGGAATCGAACCCGCGACCCCCGAAGCCGAAGCCACTAGCCTAGTAACGCCGCCACTGAGTCATCCAGCAGATGCTAAAAGTCTTTGTAACTATTTCAGAAAGAAGAAGTTAAAACGGCTTTCTCTAAATAATTTTCTTTCGCTAAATCTTTATTTTTTTATTATTTAAAAAAGGGACACCTGCAACCATCAATGTGCCTTTGCAGGTGTACAGATATCTCCAATGCCAGTTGATGGTATATTACCAAAATTTAAGATAATCGGTCACCTAACGCCGAACGAAACGTAAGAGTAAAAATACTTCTTCACGACCTTCTGTGTGGCCGTGGCAACTGCTTGGCGGAGCTGACCCACATGCATGAACTAGAAAGAGTTCCGTTTGACTCTGCTAAAGTAAATATTTTCGCTCGACGCAGCCTCTTCCTAAATTCGGAAATATCTTCCAGCAATAGACCCACGTCGCCTACGAAGCGGGCATCGAGGTCGATGGGAAATGACAACTACGAGGCCATGAAAGAAGGTACGATGCACTGTACTAGCTAGCCGTGAGAGCTAGATACTCGAGAGACCTAAGTTCGATCCCATATGGCGGCACCAATGGAATCGTTAATTTCAAGTGCCCACTTATCACGTGAACAGCGTTGATGGAAAACATCGTGAGGAGACCTGGATATTTACGAAATAATAAAAAAAAATGGAATGTAATCAATAACAACGTAGAAGGCAGTCGTTAAGATTTTCGTCGCTGTGGCTATCATTCGTTTAGCTCAGTGGCTAGAGCGTCAGGCCGCGAATGCCGAAGACGTGGGTTCGATTCCCACAACGGCGACAATCTCTTCGTACTTTTTCTACATGTTTTAATGTTCAATCTTAAGTGCAGAGATTAGCACTATAAAAAAAATTATTTCGAACATATATGTGAACCCCGCAAATCCGCAGTGGGGCCGCGTGGTTTACTATGCCCTGATACCCTCTGTACAGAGGAGGCCTTTGCCCAACAGCGGGACATGTATAGGCTGTTACTTTACTTTTATTATGTACTGCCGCTCCACACGTCCTTACCTCTATGTTTGCTCGTTTAAATAGTAACTACTTCTAGAACTAACTCCCTAAGTCAAGTCAAGTAAATGAAGGAGATAAAATACATCCAGACCCAGGATTTACTTATAAAGTTAACAGTCTATTGGAACATAATATTTAAGAGTACTAGTGGACGCTGAGTGGTCGAAATTCGACCATAATTAATCAAGATTATAATTTTTAACAATATTAATCTATTCTCAAGTACAATACACTTTAAACAAAAGAGTTTTTTTGACGACACGAATGGCGCAGTCGGTATTGTACCTTCTGCTACCAGAGGGTGTGGGTTCGACCCCCACAACTGGAAAAATATTCTGTGATGAACATAGTGTTTTTCTAGTGTATTAGTGTTTATATATGTATATTACGTATTTATTTACAAAAGAAAAGTATGTTTAAGTATGTTTATCAGTTATCAAGTACCCATAGTACAAGCTTTGCTTAGTTTGGGACTAAAGAACGTTGTGTAAAAATGTGTACTAAAAATATTAAAATATTAAAAAAAAGAGTATATTATGCGTTTGTGTGTAATATATTAGCATTCTGCACTCCCTCTCTACATAAACTAAAAGTGTGGGTTTCATACTCCTCCGCATAATTTTCTTAAAAAGCAGTACAAAGTTTTATAGTCTCCATTCAAGTGTCCATACACAAGATATCGAAGCGTTGAAACACCATGCAATCAAACGTTACAGCATCAAGAACCAGCAGCCCGTTCTTCTCGGTACGGCCTCTTGAGCAACAGGACCTGGAGATTGCATCGCGGGCAGAAATGATGGTCGCTCCGGATAGATTCTCCGGTCTACCCGCTTTCAATAGTGTGGGATGATGTCTCCAACAAACTGTTTTCTTATACGATACCATTCTATAGTTTGGGATGATGTGATGTTTTCTTATACGACTCCAATTATGTTCAGATTAAATGGATTTCAGTGTCATTATTAAATCTTAATCATTTGACGATTAATGCAATAGACAATGCATGTTGATTAAACTAACAGAGTTCATAACATCGTCTCGACAATTGATTCCGGATTTTTCTAAATCATACCGGTTTGAACAGTGCCTGTTGTTTTAGTGCTTGATTTATACAGCAACATTATAGGTACATGTTTTATTTATAATGAAATGTTTGTCTGATTTATAACTCTTTTTATTTCTAGTACCTGAAGGTCCGAGCTTTGCACGGTTTTTATTGCTCTGATTTATAACCCTTTTTAACACTACTACAGCGTTAAAAACGTAAATTTAACTGAAGGATTCCATCACAAACGTCCGTAAGTGTGCAAAGTTGGGATTTAATAGGGGTAAAGGTAAAACTTATGGATTAAAAAAATGGCCAAGTGCGAGTCAGACTGGCGCACGATGGGTTCCGTACCATTATCAGCTTTTATATATTATATTACAGCTATTATATATATTAAAAACGGCAAAAAAAATCATATCTGTTGTTGTGTGAGCCCCACTTAATTATATAATATAATATTTTTTGTTCTATTTTTTAGTATTCGTTGTTATAGCGAAACAGAAATACATCAACTGTATCAAAATTTGAACTGTAACTATCACGTTTCGTGAGATACAGCCTGGTGACAGACAGACAGTACATACATACAGCGGGGTCTTAGTAATAGGATCCCGTTTTACCCCTTGGGTACGGAACCCGAAAAAGGAACAAATGGATTAGGTTTCCCTAATAAGGAACTTCGAGGGTCGAAATCAAACAATTATCTTTGCACATTGTATATTTTTACAGTTCAAGTTACATTCATTAGTCTAGAAAGTCCCTTAGGGACGAACGACCCGCTTACGTCCTTTTAAATCCCTACGGATCCCGAATCCCTGCGATACAACAAACCATAATACTGCCATTTAAAAAGCACAAACATTATAACTAACATTAAGATACGTTCGAAAATAGTTTTCATATATATATTTTTTTATTAGGATCACCAAAATTGAAACGTTAAAAATGCTAGGCATGTTATATATAGATACATTAATCGCTAAACAATATTAGAAAAGGACATCTACTTATATGTTGCAATTTAACTATAATTTTGAATTAACTATCTAGCAACAAAACAGTCGTAATATAAACTAAAATAAATCATAGTGATATTTATATTTATGTGAAAAAATGAAAATAAACTAAGCTACTATAAAATATCACCGTTTATCTTAATTTCAATAACCGTCTCGCTTACAGTAACTTGCTCAACGCGACATACATAACGTTGACACTGTATTTTGTACACAACTTATTGGAGTAGCGTCGAATGAAGCTAATATTTTAAGAGTTGCCGAATATTTCAGCCCGTTTCTACCAGTATAGTCATCGCGCGTTACCATGACAATAGCGAGCATTGACTCCTGTCTACCAAATTACGCCCGTAATTTTATTAGCGATACTAACTCATTACGTTAGGGGCCGTCCGTTAATCACGTGATGTTTTTTTTTAGCATTTTTAACCCCCTCCTACCCATTGGTGATACGTGGTGAGGCTAAGGACTACCCCCCCTCCCCGCCCCCCATCCAACGTCACGTGTATTTTTAGAACCTACAAAGAATGTTATAATTTTTAAGATATCGTTAAATACGGGCTTAGGATATAATAAAAAAAGGATAATGATAGAAATGTAACGGCGAGACAAGGTCACGCTACACTGATTTTCGGTATAGAAATTGCGCGTTTGACGAAAAAATAAATTCACGTGATATCTTACTACACCCTACCTGCCCCCTTGTGATATTTCATGATTTTTGCCCGTTTCGAGCCTCACGTAATTCATGGACGGCCCCTTAAGTTCGAAATGACTGGTAGCGGCCGAGATGTTTTTTTTTTAAATTATAGTACTCTTTTTTTTAGGGAAAATATTATGGAGTAAAGTTTTTACGATGCGCGCGCACACCGACAGCCAAAAAGCGACATGGTTGCAAAACGACCGACTTCACGGTATTATCCCATGATACACGGACACCCAAAAACTTTTTACACTTAGCTGCAATTCCGTGTTATAGGTAAACTGTTATCAAATATATTTAATGTCTTTTACACAAAGAGTTCTGGGACAGATGATAAGAATTTGCTACAGGTAATAAAAACACACATTTTTTTTTTCTTATTGCATTTTTGTATTACTTTTGCAATAACAACAAAACAATGCGGTACAAGTAGATTCAATAATCGTTATTGCCATTCTGACGCGCGAAGACTAAACAAGGAGCACAGTTGGGCACAGGCGTGGATATTTAAAAAAAACATACCAGTGTTGCAAGTTCTTACGCGCACGTGCAACTGAAGTAAGCTTGACGCCTTTTTTCGCCGTACTCATACGAACTGTCAATTTTGACAGGTCTTCTACGGAATCATCGAAGTTCCATTTTTGATACCTATGTTCATAAATACGGTGCAAGATTAATCCTTCAGTTTAAACAGCCAAGTTTTAGTGTTTGCACAATGGAGGCGACCTATTGTATTATACTGCTTTGTTATTGAAACGTCTTTAAATCTATCCTCAACCCTCTGGTTTCAGTCGATGGCTACAGATCACATGTGATCATAAAACACTCCTTTGGCATTAAATCCATTTGTTCGAAAGGCGTTATTTTAAGCTTAATATTGTGCTGTGTTTCATCGCAGTTGTACCAAATTCAGCTATAATATAACCGAATGCTTTCAAGTCGCTTACAGAGAAACGATAAAAAGAGGCAGATATTTCCCGCGCAAATACTTCGATATTTTCTCGTGATTTATTCATTTCTAGAAAAAATTCAGTTCATAGCTTTAGAATTTTTTAGTTTAGAATCATCTGGGTAGATGAGTCATTAATTAAAATTCTGGTGGATGTAAAGTACGCGTAAAAATTAATAATACCTTAATCGATATTTATTAGATTAGACCTTTACTATTTGTATATACATATAACCATTATTGTATATAATTTTCATTAAAACATCGTTCACTGCAAGAGCATCGATAGAAAATTTAAAGTACATCTTATAGATAAGAAATACTAACAATTGAACACTGCTTTTGACTTTTATACACGTACCTATATCATCCTAAACGAAAATTAATCATTTTGATATGATAGAAGGCGAAAAACAAAATTCCTGCAATATGTGCTTAACAGTACAGAAAATCATGTTATATACATGACTACTATTCTAAGAATTGCAATTTATAAATGCAAGCAATGTTTGAAAAGTACTGATATTTGTTGCCATCGATGTCGGCGCATTAAACCGTTAGAAATCGGGACATTACAGTTACTATTTTTTATTCATTAATACATTTGACAGCTAGACAATAGAACTAAGTACGATTATTTGTATGCAATGCACTAGTACACTAAAAATCGATTGTGTCTACGATACACTCATGCTTGAACGCCTAACGGTCATCTTTTAAATTTCTACGTGACAAACAGATCAAATTAAACTAACACCATTTGCAATAACTACACGTCGAAAGCAAGATCACAAATTTCAATGCTTATTACGACAAGTAAAATCAATTATATAAATGCTTATTTTATTTTCTTTACGACTACATACTCAGTCAACGTCATTGTTATGGAGAGTATTTATGTAAGGATTAAGTTGAAACTAAGTAAAGTAAGTTGATTTAAGTATTTATCTCTCATTTGGGTGAACGGAAGCTACAAAAATGATTACCCGCGGTTAGTAAATAACAGTTTTAAATCCCACCAGAACACAATAACCACATGCTACCGTAGCGCCACCCAATTTAATGATTTTCGACTGTAACTTTCACACAGATTATTGTCCTTACTTCTATGTTGTCATATTAAAAATTAAATAAAAATTATTAAAGTTACCGTTTCCAAATACCCCAGTTTAATTATGTAGCTTTTTTATGCTTATTGCATCCGTATTTATTGTTTATTAAAATAGTATTTTATTTATTATATTAATATTGTATATAAATATAATATTAATATAATAAATAAAATTTGAAATCTTTACTTTTATAGGCTATAATATGGTTTAGCGTAAATCCTATTTATGAAATGGAAATATGTAATTTAAAATAATATCCGTATACTTTGTAAAGTATAGCTTGATACGCATGTCATTTACGGCTCATTCAAATGCATGTTATTAAAGTGTAATCAGTGCCAATAGTGATGATTGCAAGCCAAAGTACTGTTATGGGTATTTGTATTTTTTTTGGCATATTCGTATTAATGACGACTAGTATCGTCTCCCCTACATATACACTACCAGGGTGGGGCCTCAATAACGACTAAGAAAAAAAATTAACTAGAATCGTATTCGATTATTTAATCGACACATTAGCTTTACGTATAAACGACTACATCACTAGAGTCAACCACGTTGACATCTGTCACGCGTATCAAGATATATTTTACAAAGGCTAAGAACTCATAAATCACAAACCCAATACTTACATAAAAAGTGTGGTATCTCAAATTTATTTTCAAATAAAGCACCGCCTGTTATATGAGCAAAACACTAAAACAGCAATTTTAATATAGGTAGTGTGATGGCAGCACTTAAACGGGAGGCAAGTCGTTAATGAACTGTCAAAAATGACAATTGTATTCGTGACGACTTATGTAGGAGGAGGAGGAATGGATTTTTGAAGTTTTTATTTGCCTATTACAATTTTAATGTGAATATTATAAAATTGAGAATTTTAAGAACAACTTGACATTGGCGTAATTGTGATAACTCACAAAGCAAGCCATTAATAAAAAGAAGAAGAAGTATGTAACGGATATGTCTTATGTAAAATCCGATTTCCTAAGATCATAATCACACACAATTTTCAATAGATTAATGAATTACGAACATTAAACAGTAAATTGATGATTGTAGATTGTGTTAACATATCAGAGTAATTCAGAACTTAGTACTATAACTTAATCCAGTGAGGGTACGTACGAATCATTTTATTTAGTCTTAATCACAATCTAAAACGTTCAGCCAACGTTCGAGAAAATTTATAAAAAATTCTAGTATTTTTAATGGTGTAAACTTTGGTAGGACTGAATCTTAAGTTACTTCGTTCAGATAATGATGTCTTGCACTCACGCGAATAATATCCACGGTTGAATGTTTATTTTACGAATTTTACCGTGTTACATGAGCTTATCTCGGTGAAATTCGTAAAACACTTCAAGCATTTAATCGTACTTTCAAACATTACTCATGTTACCCTCCTCCCTTGCATATATTTTAAAGTATATTTTATCAATAATGATCTGTATCATTAAATTTAGAATATTAGACGTTTAATGATTAATCCATTCGAATGTTTAACGAGTTTCCTTATCGTAGATTGCATGGAGTCGAGTCGCAATCGAATGGTTAGTTCGAAATGGAACCTTAATCGTATAGGTTTAGAATCTCGTTTGGAGCGTGGAGCTCTGGGCTCAATCCACCGAGGAGTCGTTGTCCTCGTTCTTGGTGGTGACGTGGAAGGCGATCACCGGGATCGAGCCCAGCACCATGCAGGAGCCCATGCCGTAGAAGCACCAGGAGTAGCCGCCGGTGACGTCACGTATCATGCCTGAAGCGGTTGAAAAATCTTCGATGACAGAAATCACAAAGGTTTTTTATGTGAGATGGTGGCAAGCGAGCTGGCGGTTCACCTGATGTCAAGATAACCACCACTCATGGACATTTGCTACACCCGTAGGGTTGCAGCTGCGTTGCCACCTTTTAATAACGTGGGCCCCGGCTACCTCAATCCCCAGACGAAACTCAGAAGTGTAACACTTCCATTCCACGCAGATCTTCTATGAGGTCGCGCTAATCCCCCGGACGGCCCTGCCCGTTCGTGCAACAGCGAAGACTACTGCGTGGCCCCACCGCAGTATTTTTTTTTTTTTAATTTTACTTTTAAACATTGCCCTCACCTTAGGATAACATTATCCTGTGTTGCAAGGACGTTTTACAAGTATACATTTCACGCGGACAAACACCCAAATGCGAAACAACTGTCTGTGGGTCACACAAATTGTCGCGTGTGGGAATCGAACCCGTGACCCCCGACGCCGAAGCCGATACCTTGTCAACTGCGGAGACATCAAGCAATAAGGTCCATACCTCGGCAACTCGCGTGGCCCCGAGGTCCAAATAAGTTAAGCGATAAGGTCCGAAAGGTGCTTACCGGCCGTGGGCGGTACGGACACCGCCGCCAGACTCTGGAACATCCTCACGAGGCCGTAGGAGGAGGCGATGCGGGCGGTCCCGAAGGCGTCGGCGAGCAGTACAGGCACCAGGAGGAACCAGCAGCCCAGACAAAGGCCGTAAGCCCCTGAACGAAGGACTTTAATGGGACTTTGATCGACACTGAGACGGTCAACCAAAATGGCGTGCATTAATGAATCAGTATAAATGGTGACTAATTAATGCCCGGTTTCTAAAACCCTCTGTTGAACTCAGATTAGTTATTAGTTACATAAAGTTTCACAATGAAAACTTCAGTTAACTATCACTTTCTGAACACTCAACGGACCATACAATAATCCGATAAGAAGTCGAGAGAAAGAAGAGGTCATCGAGTCTAAAGTTAGATTTATTGAAGTTATACTTCTTTAGGCGCGTTGTGAAAAAATGATGATAGTGAAATTTTAAGATGCGCATAACTGTAACACAAAAGTTTTAAGTATTTTTTTTTATTTTTTTTTTTTTTTAGATGGCAGCTTGTTCTCGATCAATCTGTGATCGCAACTTTAGATCCACACACCGACGTGTGTCATAGATATTTACTTGTTGATGCGGTTGTTTTTTTAAGTCTGTTAAAAGTTGGCGAACCATCATTTCCTGCCTCGCACAACCGCTCTGTGGAACCAGCTGCCGCCGGTGGTCTTTTCGAACCGTTACGACCTGGGAACCTTCAAGAAGAGAGCATACTCTTTCCTAAAAGGTCGGAAACGCATTTGTAAGCCCTCGGGTGTTGATGGTGTTCATGGGCGGTGATCACTTACCATCAGGTGAACCTCCTGCTCGTTTGCCGGTTTTTCTCCATAAAAAAAATGTCATCAAATATTGCTGTTGCAGCTATTTTTATGATGGGAAATGTACTAGCGAGCAGGCTGTTCACCTGGTTCGGAGTGATCACCGCCACCTATTGACTTCTACATTTACAAGGGGTGCAGATGCGTTGCCAACATTTAAAACAGTTTGCCCCGGTTAACTTAGAGACCAGAGGTAACGCAAATATATAACACATATACTTCAGGCCCGTCTTTTGATATTCTGTGTTTTTCATATTGATAATCTTAGTTTAATTATTAATTTGTAACGCTGTTGATGATTTGTATTGATAAGAAGATAATCGGTTTCTCGATGAGGGCGGTACAGCACTAATCCTAACCAATCGACGCACGCGCCTCCTCCCTAGTGGAAATGTAATGTCAAGGTAGGACCGTTAGCGCGAATATACACCGATCTGCCGAGAATTACAAATAAATTACTTTTTGCTTATTTAGGCATGCGTTTTCCTCCTAATAGTATGTTGTTTGTGCCTTTAATTGGACTAGCACCAATCTTGTTTTGTTTTTACTTGTGATGGTGTCTTCTCTGTTTGTGCAATTTAAAAAGTATATAAATACTCCACCGGCATAGCATTCCTATTCGTGAAACGATGAAACGCCAACTAAACATTTTGGAGTTTGTGTAAAGGGATTGCGTTTTGGGAACATATTAAACACCGAGTTTTACTATGGAGCTTGTTCACCTGAGGCAATTGCCAACGCCCACCAAGACGACAGGCTGGGTAGGGTCAGCACTGCCGCGCCGGCCACCAGTATGCTGTCGACATGAAAAATGGAAATACAAATGTGGTATTGTACATTGTACGCATACGTACTACGGTCTCGAGTGGTGACCACGAACTGGATAAAGTTAGAAGTTAATATCAGGAGAGTAATCATCATTGTCACCCTCCTACCCTCATCCCACCTAGGTAGGGTCGGCACGCGTGCGAATCGTGTTGTAAGCGGTGTGGGCCCCGGCTACCTCACTCACCAGACAAAACGCGATAGTATTATCCCCTGCCCGTGGAATAAGATCCAGCCGCCCCTTTCTCAGAGCTCATCATACATCTTCTTATTATCAGTGAATTTTTTGTCACGATTGTGCCGCCCCTTATATGTGGCCGCCCTAGGCCCGGACCTAGTGGGCCTTAGGGCAAGTCCGCCACTGGTTGACTTGCCTCACGATGTACGCCTTCCGTCTGCAGAACAGGTGCAGATCGCACAGCCACCCGAGGCCCAGCCGCCCGCAGAGGTCCAGCACGGCGCTTATCGCCACCAGGTGCCCTGGAACAGGACCAGAAAATGTTAAACATCATGAGAAACTCCATTTTGTGGGCAATCTGGTGTGGTATTGGAAGACAAGGCACGTTCATTCTTTATGTCGTACCACACGGTAGGGATGTGGAATGTGAAGAAATATATCGATTTTTTTTTATGTGAAAAGTTGCCAATCGAGCAGACGGTTCACCTGATGTTAAGTGAATACGTCCGCCCACCTTACCTTTACTTATACCTTTTGAAAATTGGGCTCCGGCCACCTCACTCAATAGACGAAACGCGAAAGTATTACACTTCCACTTGCCGGCGGTCTTCTGTGAGGTCGTGGTACTTACCCGGACGGGCCTGCCCATTCGTGCAACGGCGAACAATATTTCGTGGTCCAACCACGTAAAGGAACGGGTGTAACTCACCGGCGGCGGACTTGCTGTGACCCGCTGCCACTGTATACGCTGGAAGGTAGTAGAGGGCGTACGGCGATCCGCAGGACATGAGGGCCACGGAGGCGCACAGCAGACCGAAGCGCCAGGACTTCAGCAATGACACGTCCAAGTATCTGGAACGGAGGCTCTATGAGCTCTAACGCTCTAGTCCCAAACTAAGCGAGGCTTGCACTACGGGTACTCTGATATATCATGCTTAAACACACTTCTATTTTGTAAATAAATATATATTACACATATATAAACACCCAGACACTGGAATAACACCATGTTCATCACACAATATTTTTCCAGTAGTGGGGATCGAACCCACACCCTCTGGCGCAAGAGGCAGTTTCACTAGTTCCTGCGCCAAACGGGTCGTCAAAGTTATACAAATGTTTTTTTCCGTTGAAAGCTTCTTCTCATCATCCTTCTGCCCTTATCCCCTCTAAATTACATATCGACGAAGTATATACACAAGATAACTTACATCCGATGATTATTAACTTACAAAATGGATACCCAACTAATAACTTTCTTCCCACCCAATGTCTGCTTTTGCGAAACGAAAAAACCGAACGGACAACAGTTGCCACCCAGGTTGACGATTTTATTTACGCTGGCGAAGAGGTGAATGAAGATTTAGAAAAGAGCATGTTATTAATCCGAAATGAATCCACCAGAAGAGTTAGGCTGATAGAAGTTGCTACGGGAGAGTTGATATCTAGTTATGAATTCGACCCCACACAGAGTCATAGAAGTACGCGCATAGTAACGCTTGCTGACTTTGCACTCTATGTGTGGCCCATGTCTAGACACTGCCATAAGCAATAGATAATGTAAGTCTGCAACAGGACGAATTAGAATAAGTCATTCATTCTGAAAGTACATGAGCTTCTGTACAGACATCTCTTAGTTTTATTTTTAGTTTTTAAAAAGCTCTTCACGGCTCCCTATAACTTGACTGGCGCAGCCGGTAGGATCGTCGGTTGCTTGTGCCGTCCGCGAATATATACGAAAAATCGTTTACCGCGTTCGCGCAGCGAGGCGATCCTGCGAACCAATACAAATTCGTCAAGTGAAGAGCAACGGAAGATGCTGAAGGCCGGCTGGTGAGTCCAAATCTTCACCTTCCTATCCTCATCCTATTTTATAGTTTTGTTATTTTGCAATTAGACCTCTTGCGATATAACGTTATCTGGTTTTACATAAAAATCTGTAGAACTTATAGTTAAGAAATTAATTTGTCATAAACTTTATAAGTACGTTAAATGTTCCAAGAAGTAGAGTCGGAATAACTCGGTAGATAAGGCGTCCGTGCATAGCGGAGCGATAAGCTTTGGTCGAGCCTGTTATCACTCACAGGTGTTGACGAATATTTTAATTCATTTTGTTTAACGAATACTTGTCATTAAGAACTCTTTATATTAATTAAATAATTGTGTAACTTTACTTTTAATATTTTGTTAGCATTTATTTTAATTGTGTTTTTACAGTTTACTTGTATTTTTGTGTTACGTTTATCACTTTCTCTTTTATAACGTCATTTTATAAATATTAACAATGGAAAACCGCGTTCAGATTCAAATGATTCCTAGTGAAATGCTCAAAATTATACCAGCTTTTTGACGGTGATAAGCACCAACTAAATTTATTTATCCGTAAATGTGAGTACATATTGTCAAAATACAGAGGAAGCGATGAACAAAATCTATATGTTATGTACGCAATAACGAGTAGGCTAACTGGTAATGCGGCAGCGCTCTTTAGCGAGCGTGAAGACATTAATTCATGGGATGAATTTAAAGAGTTATTAGTACAACATTTCGGAGATCCCAGAAGTGAGGAATGTGTAGCGATAGAATTAGAAGGGTTGCGTATTAGAAACAACGAGTCATACTTAGAATTTTGTAATAGAATACAGTCAGTCCGTAGTGTATTAATATCAAAAGTTAACAGAATAACTGACCCAAATATTAAGTCTAGTAAAATCACAATATATAATAACACCTCTTTAAATGTCTTTTTATACAATTTGCCGGAAAACATGGTGCGTATTGTTCGTTTGAAAGCCCCCAGTACCTTAGAAGCAGCCTTAAGTGTGGTCATGGAGGAGGTTAATTTCCATGAGCAGTATACATTGCGCAACAAAATGTATGGGAATTGTAGTATTAAACAACCCATAATAAATTCACAAAATAATAATCCAACATTTAAATTCGGTACGAATAACTTTAACCCACACATACCGATAGGTTTTAAACCCGCATTAATGCCTAGCAAATTTAATTTCGGAGTTCCGCAAGGGTTACAGCCAAAATTACCTCAATTTAATAATTTACAAAATTTTGGTTACCACCCCCCACAATATATGCGCCCGCAGCAATTCGGTATGCGCCCACAACAATTTAGTATGCGTCCTCAACAATTTGGTATGCAACAGCAAGTATTTAATAGACCTCAGCAATTTGGAATGCGCCCACAAAATTTTGGAAACCAACAGCATAATTTTTATAAGCCCCCGCAATTTGGTTACAAGCCCCAATTAAATAAAAATCAGGATACTATGCCCAGTGACGTCACTATGCGCACAGCACCCCCAGTTAGGACGAATCAACAAGGTTTACAATTGAACGAACTGGAACTCGAACCTGCAGACTACGAAAACGCGTATCCGATAGCCTATGACGATTTTTATTATGAGGAATATCAAAATAATTTCAACAGCCCAGATTTCACTTATTATGAAAATGAAAATTCTTTCACCAACCCCGAAATACCATATGACGCGAAAACTAACGTAGAAAACGAGGATTTTCGGGTAGAGGCCTCGGAAGAGTCCGCGAAAAAATAGAATTAAATTGCGAAATTAATTTAAAGTTACCATATATTTATATTCCCGAAATCGACTCAAAATTTATGATAGATACCGGTAGCACACGATCATTCATTAGTCCATCAAAAGCTTATGATTACTTTCCAGATTACATAGTTCATGAACCATTTGAAGTTATTAGCACACACGCGTCCAGTAGACATAATCAAGTTATTAAAATTCCGTCTTTGCCAGTTTTCAATTGTAACGACGTTCACAAATTATACATTTACAACGTGGACCCGAAGTATGATGGTTTAATAGGTAATGACATTCTCAACAGTCTTGAAGCTGTAATAGATTTGAAAAATGAAATCCTTAAAACTAAAACAGGCACTATACCTATAGTACATAATAAGTCACATTACATCTTAGAATTATCCCCGCGCTCGGAACAGAGAGTCAAACTCCCAACAAATTTATATTCTGGTGACGCTATCATCGGTTACAAGGAATTTTGTAAAGGTGTGCGAATGCCTAGTGCGTTAGTGAAATGTAAGGATGGTTATACAACAACAGTAATCCAAAACACTTTAGACATTCCGATAAAATTAACGATAAAAAGAGCATTGAATGTGGAAATGTATGAAGGAATGAAAGTAGATGAATGTATAGTTAATAATATAAGGAATTTACCTGATGTTGAAATAGATGAAATATTACAACAAAATTTACAGAAATTACGTTTAGATCACATGTCCGAAGAAGAACGTAGCGCTATCCATAGACTATGTACGGAATACAAAGACATCTTTTACACTGAACAATTGCCCTTAACATTTGCGAATGAAGTCAAACACTTTATAAAAACTAAACACGAGGATCCAATTTATGTTAAGCCCTATAGACAACCTCCCGCTCAAACGCAGGAAATTAGAAATCAGGTGGAAAAACTGTTAAATGACAATGTTATTCAGGAATCGTATTCACCTTGGTCAGCCCCCGTTCATTTAGTTCCTAAAAAGAAAGACGCATCCGGAGAAATCAAATATAGAATGGTTATTGATTACCGACGACTAAACGAAATAACTGTTGATGACAAATATCCACTCCCTAATATTACTGACATTTTCGACAAATTAGGTAAGAGCACATATTTCTCGACTTTGGACTTAGCGAGTGGTTATCACCAAATTGAAATTAATGAAGCCGATAGACAAAAGACCGCGTTTAGTACTGAAAATGGACACTATGAGTTCCTTAGAATGCCTTTCGGCCTAAAGACAGCTCCAGCTACCTTCCAGAGAGCCATGGATAACATCCTCAGAGGTTTACAGGGAATTCATTGTTTGGTCTATTTGGATGACATAATTATTTTTTCTAGTAGTCTCCAAGAACATTTACAAAAGTTAAGGACCGTATTTGACAGACTCAGAGCGACTAATTTAAAGGTGCAACTTGACAAGTCTGAATTCTTGAGAAAAGAAGTTCTGTACTTAGGACACGTAATTACTAAAGATGGACTAAAACCTAACGACGACAAAATTAAAGCTGTTCTAAATTACCCACTACCGAAGACAACTACGGAAATAAAAAGTTTCCTAGGACTTATCGGTTATTATAGGCGATTCGTTAAAGACTTTGCACGTATAACTCAACCTCTTACGGCGTGCCTAAAGAAAAGAAACAAAATTGTTATAGACCAAAAATACATCGACGCATTTCAAAAATGTAAAGAACTTTTAACTAACGCGCCTCTACTCCAATACCCAGACCCAGAAAAACCTTATGTATTAACCACAGATGCATCCACTGTTGCCTTAGGTGCAGTCTTATCACAAGGACCCATAGGTTCGGATAAACCCGTCGCTTACGCTAGTAGAACTCTCAGTGATACCGAAGCTAGATATAGCACCATAGAGCGTGAATTACTCGCAATAATATGGGCCGTAAAACATTTTAGACCATATCTGTATGGACGTAAGTTCACCATATTTACCGATCATCGACCCTTAGTTTGGCTTTACTCCCTTAAGGAACCAAATAGTAAGTTAACCCGTTGGCGTTTACGTCTCCAAGAATTCGACTTCGATATAATTTACAAAAATGGTAAACAAAATAGTAATGCTGATGCCCTCTCACGTATTAGGTTAAACGCTATAGACTCAGATGACGGCCAATCTATGAAAGTAAATGTAGATCCTAAAGAACAAAAATTACAAAAGTATTTGACTGAACTAACCAACAAAATTGTAGACTTAAAGTCACAAGACAATGACGACTCTAGGACTATAACGATAACTGACACATCCGCTACTATGTCCGTTGACGAATTCGAAAATGAACCTAGATACCCAATCCCACCTTTATCCTCTGACAGTAGCACCGTGACAGTACATTCTGGACAAGACTTAGAATCTAACGGTATTCCCATATTAAAAGAAGCCATTGACACAAAGCCTAACCAAATATTAGTATTTACATGGAATAAAAATGAACTACAAGTAAGAAATTTATCCAGAGATAAACAAAAAGTACTTGAAGTTTTCGCCCCTTTAAACAACGAAATTTTAATTAAAAACTTTTTAAAAGAATATATTAAACCCAAATGTAAATATTTCATTTATTTCGAGAACGTCCAACATAGAGCCGAATTTTCTAGAATAATTATTCAGTTATTTAAAAAGGGAATGGTAGAGTTTTTTGAATGTACAGAGCGTGTCATATATGTGGAAGACGATAAAGAACAGAAGGAAATTATATTACAACATCATGAAGGAAAGACATGTCATAGAGGAATAAAAGAAACAATGAGCAGAATTAGACGTAATTATTATTGGCAGAACATGCAAGAAACTATCGCCGCAGTGATTAATATTTGTGATTGTTGTAGAAAGATGAAGTATGACAGGAAACCTATAAAACCGCTACTCCAACTAACGCAAACCCAAAATGCCCCTTTTCAGGAAATTTTTATGGATGTATTTTCAATTGAATCTATTTATTACCTCACCTTAGTTGACGCATTTAGCAAATTAGGTCAAGCCATAGAAATTACAAATAGATCAGCCCCGGAAATCGTAAGAGCGTTAATTAAATATTTCTCTATATATGGAACACCTAAGAGAATCACATCCGACCCGGGTAGTGAATTTAATAATGACCTTCTAAAAGAACTTTTAGCTATGTACAACATACAATTACACATTAGCACTCCTAATAACCCCAATTCCACAGGAATAATTGAAAGGTTCCACTCTACAATTATAGAGATATATAGGTTGGCAAAATACGAACGGAAGTGTACAGATGCAGCAACTGTAATGTCTTACTCCATCATGGCTTATAATCACACTATACACACTGCAACCGGTCTGACTCCTTTCGAAGTAGTTTTTGGTCATACCGATTCAAATTCAACATTTACAGCGAATTTTGAAAAGAATTATACACAACAGTTAATTAAAGATCACGCCAAACGCATTAGATATTTATATGACTACATATCAGATAAAATGTTACAACATAAGAAAAAAAAATTAGAGAACAAAAGGGCGGAGAGTCAGATAAAAGTTTTAAAATAGGTGATATCATATACGCGAAAGAATGTAATACTAGAAAAAGTAAGGATAAGCCGCGATATAGAAAAGCCGTTGTCATTGGTAAAATAGAACGAAACATAGTCCCAGTTAGAATTGGTAGTAGGAATACCACAGTACCGATTAAAAATATTAAACGCCCTCCACAGGTGGTGTCCGATGATGATTCTGATGATAGACCGACAAACACGGGCCCTTCAACTTCAAAAACTTGAAAGGAACCCTGGGATCCTGCCCGTCAAGCAAGGTCATGCTTCCATGCAAACAGACAAGTGGCTTATAATTAAAACATTTGATTTAAAACATTTAGAAACAGACTTAGAATTTTGTGTAACGAAATACAAAGAGTTTACGTCATTGATTGATATTAATAAACCTTATATTTACGAATTTCTCGGTATCCGTACACAAGTAGGGTATCTAAAGGATGCAACTATTGAAAAATTTCGGCAAATAGTACCTTCAAAAAGATTCAAAAGAGGCATTATTAACCCTCTCGGTTCTATGATAAAAATTATTACCGGAAATTTAGACCATGATGATGCAATCCGATATGACTCTTTGATTTCTAAATTGCAAGATAATCAGTTAGTGACAGAAACGAAATTTACATTAGTCTCAAAAGTTGTGAATAATGTAATAAATGGTACAGAAACCTTACATAACAATACATTAATATTAGATGAACGGTTAAAGAGAATTGAAAGAATTGTTAAAAATATGGTCACTAAAGAGGAAAATTCAATTTATTCAACTTATATATTAGGAATGTTCAATATGTTTTCCCATAACTTTAGAACTATCAATTTAATACTCGGAGAAATTGAAACTGCACTAGCATTTAGTAAGGTCTCTGTCCTGCATCAATCAATTGTCAACTCTACAGAACTGTTAAAATTATTATACGAAATTGCGGAAACTGAAAATTTGTTATACACTGTAAATGAAAAGAACTTAGTTAAGTTGGAAAATTGTATCAAAGTTAAAGCTTTTGTCAAAGTAAACCAGATCACGTTTATACTCGAGGTCCCTTTAGTGGATAATAAGATTTATAATTATTTCAAAATTTATTCCTTGCCTGTTCACGTTAGAAACCAAACTGTAATCGTTATCCCAAAATACCCATTCCTCCTGGTGAAAGATAAGGAGTACTTACCAGTCCTAAGAGCCTGTAAGCAGATTGCAGAAGATGACCGTTACCTTTGTTATAACGACGACGTGCTACCCCATACGGAACAAAGCTGCGTCGAACAACTCATGGAGTTTCAACAAAATCCTGATGCATGTGAACAACATGCTATTGAAATCGAAAACATCAAAACCCAACGTATAAGCCTTGGAAGCTGGATACTTTATGTGAAAAATCACACTCTACTTAATAGAAAATGCGGCAATGACGCCACTCACGAGTCTTTACATGGTACTTACATTATCACCATGAATGATGCTTGTGAAACCGAGATCGGAAAAATCCATTTCAAGTACCACCAATCTTCGGCGGAAAATCTAAATTATCGGCTTTATCCAATAACCAACTTACCAGAATTGAAAGTTATAAAGCCTATCAGTGTCAATGGAGCGAGCCTAAAAGGTATATAAGTTTAGATGAAACAAAACAGTTGAACCAATTAGTGAAACTCAAAAAGGTCAATTTCAGTGAAAGTGCCGGTGCTATTAACGTTAAAAGTGTTAGTTTAGGAACTATATTATTGTATGCTATTATGTTAACTATTTTCTGTATTTTTGTCGTAGTTAAGTATTTTAAAAATAAATTGTGTGTTTTTGGGCGAAATAATCGAATTCCTGAAAATGCCGATAATTTCGCTCTTGGGGAGGGAGGAGTTATGAATTCGACCCCACACAGAGTCATAGAAGTACGCGCATAGTAACGCTTGCTGACTTTGCACTCTATGTGTGGCCCATGTCTAGACACTGCCATAAGCAATAGATAATGTAAGTCTGCAACAGGACGAATTAGAATAAGTCATTCATTCTGAAAGTACATGAGCTTCTGTACAGACATCTCTTAGTTTTATTTTTAGTTTTTAAAAAGCTCTTCACGGCTCCCTATAACTTGACTATCTTTATTTAGCCTACGTGAGTATCAACAGTATTAACCCCACACATTGGCGTCGTCAAGATATTCGGCAATAGTATAATAGGCTTTAGCCATAAGTGTACTTTTAATTTTTTCGTTTAAATTCATCAAGTGGCAGACTTAACATCGACTGTGGGATTTTATTATACATGCGCACACTTTGCCCCATGAACGATCTGTTTACTTTTTGTAGGCGAAATAATGGCGTCGTTAGTTTGTCCTTATTTCTAGTATTTAGTTTATGTCTGTTATTCTTTTGAAACTTCAAAATTTACAAGAAATTAACATTACCACCGTTCGGAAAGCAGTTTCTGTTGAGAAGAAGCCGGCAAGAAACTCACAGTTGCTCTTTTTTAAAAAATTATTAATATTCTGTTTAACATACAAAATATTACAATAAATATATTGAGACGCAACAGTGAGTATATTAATCTCTTTAAAAAGATCTCTGAGTGTATTCCGGGCTACGATGTTATAAATTGCTCGGACAGCTCTTTTAAATAAACGATTATACTACCGAGTCTGAACCTCCTGTGTGAATTTGGGCAAATTTAGAAAAGCCACCCTGTATTTATAAATCTGATCAATAAGATTAATCTGATGAATTCAGAGAGTTCAACCAACCTATTGACAACTAAAATGAAATTTGAAAAGCGTTGTGACAGCTGATTAGATTGATATCTACGATGATCAGAGTTTCAGAAACCGAGCGTAAATCTCGTCGATAGCTTTTTAAAAAACCTGTCATATAGATTCGTCCCTTTTGCACCTTACTATCGACTCACCTCGAGATCTTGTCGATGCACCCATCCTTCTTCTCCACCACTTCGACTGTCTCTTCTTTCTGCTCTTCCACCTTCTTCATGTCCGTCACCGGCTCAACCAACTTGTTCTGGATGAGGGGGTTCGGGAGCGGCGGTCGGATGTACAAAGAGCTGGATGATGTAAGATAGAAGAACAGGATAAGTAGGAGCTAGTGTAAGATAGAAGAAGACGATAAGAAGAGAACTCTGGATAACCTATCAACAGGCTTAGGGCCTGTTTCTGTATTCTATCTGCAGTTAGATTTTGTTACTAGCGATATATATTTCACATTAGCTCCATAACAGTTGGTCAAGAATTCTATCTCCAGTAACCAAATCTATTTGTAGATCGAATATTGTAATCGGCCGTTAAGAAATTTATTAAAGAAAAACTTTATAAAAAGGGTTATTTAGAATGTATTAATCTAAGAAATAAATTATGTAGTAAAAAATATAGTAATGTTTATAGAAAAAAAGTAGTGACATAAAAGACATACTCTTTCACCTGTTCCTTTTCAGTTATAGGAACCTCATTACGAAACGATGATACATTTAAAAAAAATTACTATCGAATCGATGTTTCTTATTTTGATTAATAAATTATTTGATTTTGGTTTAATTTTTTTTTATTTTTCCTTACAGTATTATAACATATACTGATAACCTCTGATCAGCTCCGGCTTCGCACGGGTGCAATGTATTATACATAAAAACTTTCCTCTAATAAAAAAGAAACCGCTTCACGATCCGTTGCGTAGTTTTAAACATCTAAACAAACATAGGGACAGACAGACTGCGGGACGACTTTGTTTTATACATGTAGTTATTTCATGTGGACAAACACAGACCCGAAAAAAAAAAATTGTTGGTCACAAACTTAGTATGGCAGCTGCGTCACGAACTCTTGGCCCCCTTTGCTGGTACCCAAACAGCTCTAGAACACGCATTTGTATAGCGTGGGTGTTTTTCCCAGGAGTATTACATCTTAGTTTAAGACTAGCTTCATCACTACATAGTATAAAACAAAGCCGTCCCGCTTTCTGTCCCTATATATGCTCAGATCATTAAAACTACGCAACGGATCTTGATGCGGGTTTCTTTAACTGATAGAGCGACTCAAGAGGAAGGTTTACATGTATAATTCAAGCATAATAGAGTAGAGCAAACACTGATAATTTTGGAGGTTTCTAATACAATAACAAACATACAGCATTGCACTCGTGTGAAGCCGGGGCGGGTCGCTAGTCTCGCATAAAAGTAACCACGAGCCACTCACCGGCAGTGTTACGAACTGTTCAAAATATACTCCTAAAGCAGGTCAAAAATCCACTGAATTCTAACCGAACATTCCTAAATGTTTCTCATATAGGAAGTCAGAATTTAGTTTGAATTTGGCTCCTAAAAACTTTTCCTTCCTAAATTTAGGTAGAAAACTCGCTGAGTTGGCATCCGTGCTCACCGGCTCAGCTTGCGCCTGCTGGCCTTGTACACGCAGGTGCTGTCCGTGGACAGGTCCTCGACCGAGTGCAGGATCGACGAGGACCTGGTGGGGCGCAGCCGCAAGCGCACCACCTCCCTCGGCAGCCCTGCAGTGGTGGTGGGAATTTATTAAAGAAAAACTTTATGCAAAAGGGTTATTATAATACAAAGGAATATATAATACAGCGGAGCTGGTCTGGATTTTCGTCTGGGTCTCGAATAGTCTTGTGGATCAAAGAGCACTCACCTTCAACCGTCGTTGACGAGTCGCCCTCGTTCCTTGCACAGCCGGCCGAATCAGCACTGCTTTATTACCGGGACCACCGCAATTAACTTTCTAGCTCAAGGAATCAAATGTCCGGACAATAATTAGTGAAATCGAAACTAGTTGCAAGAGATGTTGCGCCGCCGCCGTTCAACCGATGAATAGCGAATGACGTGTAGCGAACGGGAATGTTCATTCGCTCTTCTCGCTCAATTCGAGTCTCCGAATGAGGCCTTTGTCCACAAGACCACAAAACCAGCCGAAACAATAACCCCTGTTGATCGATCCCAAGCCATTTCCAAAAGAAAAACAAAAGTTTCATAACATTTTGATGTTTTGAGGTTAAGATTAATGAGAAAACTGCGGAGTTTCTTCCGCCTGTTTTTGCTCCGTTAGAGGACTGTGTATGACTATCGATAGGTGAAATGTATGTTTCTCATATCGATGAATGAATTTTTTTTTATTAATCTGGAGCTTTTCCCAATCGCCCAAAATTAAGGCAATAATGTTGAACACCAAGTGGAATTGTATGAAAAAATATAAAAGTTAAATAATAAAAAAAATATAGGTTTCATCAATGCTGTTTTAATAAAGCTGACGCATGTCCATATTGAAAAATTTTCCGCAGTCACGTTCATATAACAGAACGTATGATACTGAAGGAGATAGACTAAAGGAGATAGCAGTATATAAAGTCATTGGCGTAATTTGAGTGCCACTAGTTTAGATACGCTAGTGCAGGGGTGAGCAACCTTTTTAATCAATGGGCCAATTTAAATTTAAAATTTTATTTGGCGGGCCGCACATAATAATTTACGAAACTTTATTTATAATAAACATTAAAATAATACAATATAAAATTTAAAAAAATTAAAGATTTCATATACAAATTTTAATGCAAGTTAAAAACAAACAAGAAAAGAACAAAAAAACGAGCAAAAAATATTTCGGTTCAGTATGTACTACCATTTTATTATAATTAATTTTATAACAATATTTTGATGGGAGAAATTCGATAAAATAAAGGCCGCGCGTTGCTCTTCCTTGCGCTAGTGTATTATTAAGTATACGCTCCTATTTGTATACATTATCATTGGATTTCATAGGATTTTTTTAAGTTGACGTAAGCAGGAATTCGAGTATTTCTTTACGTAGTTATTAGAAAACCTCTCATAAACCTCGTGTGTTCGTGAACGAGCTGTTTTGGATAACGGTGGGAAACGGACAACGGGGAAGCGTACTCACCGACCACGCCCAAAACGTCCAGACCCTCAGAGTCCTCGGAGTCGGACATCTGCGACTGCAGTGGGGGGCGGGTCACCTGAAAATGTCAGGCGAAATATCTTTTTTTTTATATTTTTATTCTGTTTTTTAGTATCTGTTGATTTGGCGGCAACAGAAATATAATTATCATCTGTGAAAATTTCAACTGTCCAACTACCCCTCTGATAATTGCTAATTGGGATGCTCTAACCGCTGAGCTAACGAGCCGATAACTATCGCACTGATATTACATGAGATACGGGTGACAGACGGACAGACAGACAGCGGCAATCGGGTCCCTTTTTATCCTTTGGGTACGGAACCCTAATAAAAAGCATCACAACATAATTAAACAAATTACGCCCGGTTTACGGAAACAATGATCATCGTAGAAATTAACTAAAAGCTGTTTTTTTTTATGGAAAAAGGAGGCAAACGAGCATGCGGGTCACCTGATGGTAAGTGATCACCGCCGCCCATGGACATTTGCAACATCGGTTGAGTCGCAATTTCGTTGTCGGCCTTTAAGGTAGAAATAGGCTCTCTTCTTGAAGGTCCCTAAGTCGGATCGGTCTGGAAATACCGCTGGCGACAACTCGTTGCACAAAGTAGTTGTTCGTAGTAAAAAATTTCGCGAAAAACGCACAGTGGTGGACCACCAACAATCATGGTGGCGTCGTTGGTACTTGGCGGATTGACCAGGTTGGTGAAATTCACCTGCAGGTATCAACCCAAACAATTCCTCAGAGCACTCCAGATGATATATTCGATAGAAAATGCAAAGGAATGCAACATCCCTTCGCAGGGCCAAAGAATCCAGACGATCGGACAGGATTTGGTCGACAATGTTTAACTGTGTTACCGTGTGTAATAGCCGGTTAAGTACCACGACCTCACGGAATACCGGCGTAAAGTAGAAATGTTACACTTCTGCGTTTCGTCTGGTGAGTGAGGTAGCCGGGGCCCACTTTATTTAAAGGTGGCAACGCTTTTGCATTCCTACGGGTGTTGCAAATGTCCATGGGCGATTATCTCTTTACATCAGGTGAACCGCCAGCTCGTTTGCCACTTTGAGAACAAAATTTCAACTGTCTAACTATCGTGGTTCATGAGATACAATCTGGTGACAGACGGACAGATAGAGGGAACCCTAAAAAACAGCATCACAACTTACGCCCGGTTTCTAAAACAATGATCATCGTAGAAGTTAACTAAAAGCTGTCAAATGGCTTTTCTAACGTCATTTGAGTTGCCAAAAGGATGGTTAAACTCTCTGAATTTATCTGTACTGTACTATACATGTCCTCCTGCTTGGCAAAGGCCTCCTCTGTACAGAGGGTATCAGGGCATAGACCCCACTGCGGATTGGCGAGCTTCATATATCTTCGAAATAGTTTTTTTGTAATTATTTAGAAAATATGCAGGTTTCCACACGATGCTTTCCTTCACCGCTAAGCACGTGATGAGATTACACTTAAAATTAACAATTTCGTTGTCCTGCACCGGGGATCGAACTCAGGTTGCTCGAGTGATATTGAATCAAAGGCAGCTCGCCTTTGGTTTACTTACATTTTAATAATTAAGTATTGTTGAGGGTATTAGGGCTTAGTCCATCCACCACGCGGCCCCACTGCGTATTGGCGGACTTCGCATGTGTTCGAATTGTTTTTGTTGTTATTTCGAAAATATGCAGGCTTCCTCACAACATTTTCCTTCACGGTTGAACACGTGTTAAAAGTCAGCGCTTGAAATTAACAATTTCTTTGGTGCCGGCACCGGGGAACTTTGATTGCTCGGCCATATTGGGTAAAAGTTGTTTATTGGAATATATGAAACAACTAGTTGAACCGTGCTAAATATATATAATGCTGAGTACTATATGATCAGTCACTGAAAAAAGGTCAGGTGCAATGTCCTATCTAGGCTTACCAAAATAAAACAGATATTTTATAAATTTTAATTTTTTATAGTGCTAATCTCTGCACTGCACGATAATTCGGACCCGTTATCGTTGTAAAACGATATTCGAAATTGTTTATAGGCTGGAAAGGATATAACAATGGATGCGCCAAGCATTGCTTCAAATGCTAAAAAACAATGTAGATAAAAGACGTTAAGATTTTCGTCGGTATGGCAATCAGCCGTTTAGCTTAGTGGCTAAAGAGTCAGGCTGCGAATGCAGAAGACGTGGGTTCGATTCCCACAGCGGCGGCAATCTTTTCGTACTTTTTCTACAAATTTTAAAGATATTTTATTTTTATTTCTTCTACCGGAACCTTTAAAATTTGTATAATTGCATCACAAAAAAAAACAAATAACAAAAAGAAACAAGACCGCAGAGTTTCTTGCCGGTCCTTCTTCTGTTCAGGACTTGTTTAGTGAACCGGTGGTAGATTTTTTGTTGACGTTCAATAAGAGCTTAAGTTAAGCCCGTATTGAATAAAGATTATTTGACTTTGACTTTGAAAAGAACTAAACTATCGACTGCGCGGGACTCGAATCTTGACTTTGACTTTGAAAAAACTAAACTATCGACCGCGCGGGACTCGAATCTTGACTTTGACTTTGAAAAAAACTAAACTATCGACCGCGCGGGACTCGAATCTTGACTTTGACTTTGAAAAAACTAAACTATCGACCGCGCGGGACTCGAATCTTGACTTTGACTTTGAAAAAACTAAACTATCGACCGCGCGGGACTCGAATCTTGACTTTGACTTTGAAAAAAACTAAACTATCGACCGCGGGGGACTCGTATCTTGACTTTGACTTTGAAAAAACTAAACTATCGACCGCGCGGGACTTGAATCCTGGACCCACCTCGATGAGGCTGGGGTGGATGATCTCCGCTAGGAGGTTGGTGCGTTTCGCGTCCTCGCTGAGGAGCGCGTTCCTCTGGTTGAGGGTCAGCTCGGTGTCCATCTGGAACAGGCTCTGCAGTTTGTTGTCCTTGTTCGCGTCCGCTTTGCCTGCGAGCGGTCGAATATTGATTATTTATTTATTTATTTTGGATTACCAACAAAATTAAATACATGTGCACAGAGTTAAATAAACGCATATTTTATGGCAACAATTTACACGAACGGCGTATCTATACTATCGTGAATACTACTAACCCATAAAATTATAGTATACAATAGGCGAAGAGATATGTGTTGTAACTTCCTGGGGGGAGGCGGGATTATCTCAATTTTATTGCCGAGACCGTATTTTTGGCTGATTCACAAATGCGACCCAACTGCTGGGCACCCAGGAAGGTCTACATAGGTCAAAATGTCTGTCGAAAGGAACAACAGGAGATGGATGCGATAAAGGAATGGTAAGACGATAAGTGGTAGACAAGACAATAATAGGCGGACAAGACATTAAGAGATGGACAAGATAATAAGAGATTGATTAGATAAAAAGAAGAATACGAAAATAAGACATAAACAAGACAATAAATTAAAGACATGACAGTAAGATATGTACAATATCATAAAAGATGGATATGATAAAGAGGGGGAAACGAAAACATGACATGAATAATAAAATCAAAGATTAAATTTACAATACATTAAAAGATGGATAAGGTTAATAGATGGACACAATAACAAGACAATAAAAGATAGAAAAGACTTTAAGAAATGGACAATGGATAAAATAAAGACAGGGACACGAACAGGAAAATAAGATGTACATGACGTTAAGAGAAGACACGAAAACAAGACAACAAGATATAGGCAAGAAACTAATAGTTGGCCAAGATAGTAAGAGATGGATAAGATAAAGAGAGGGACATGGAAAAAAAAAAGATTACACAAAATAAGGGATGTAAAAAAATACTCGCCTTCTTGAATGTCGTGTAGAAGAGTCGTGTTCTCGGTGGTGGTGGTGGTGACGGGCGTCGCTGGTCTGGGGGTGGGCGGCGGCCGGTAGAGGGTGGCCGACACGCACACGTGGAGCATCCCGCCCCCTATGAAAGTAGAAGGGGCGGAATGCATTCTAGACCACTGTTTAAGGGCCCATATTGTAAGGTGTTAATTCTTTAGAGAATTAATGAAGTGGATTTTGTAGGCTTTGAAATAATTTAGAAAACTCGTGACTGTTTACAAACTGTGTATGGTATCAAGTAAGAAATGGAACAGAAAAGAACGTTATAATATAGTTAAAGACGTTGAACATAGAAAATAGAAAGGCAAAAATCGCAGGTAGGCAGCAAAAATATAAAGGAGGCTGGTTGAGCATATGTTGCATCCTTTACATGATAGTTGGCGCTGTAACATCGGGTAGCGCGGCTACTATTTTGTACCAATTGGCAATCTCGTCCAAATATCACGGCCTACCGGGAGGCCGACGTACAACTCCATTTTCAACCGACTTCAAAAAAGGAGGAGTCTCTCAATTCGACGGCATTTCTTTTACGTTTGTTACCTCAGAACTTTCAACTGGTTGAACCGACTTTGGTGATTTTTTTTTATTTGAAAGCTGGCGCTTCCCATGTGGACCCATATTAATTTCATTGGTATTGGATCTTGGACTCCGGAGACACTTGGGGAACGCCTGAAAGTCAATTGTAAAATGAATACATAGCGAGATATTTGAGGTCGGTTTCGTTTTTCGTTAATAAATAAAACCGTTTAAAAACTTTAAAGCTAAACGGTTTTATTTTATGTGCACTGAAAACTACAACATTGTATTGTCATCTAAATTAAATGTGTGTACCGAATTTCAGATCAATCTGACAACGGGAAGGTGCTTAAATTTCAATTTCTAATTTTGACCCGAATAAATAAACAAATTCCGTACGGGTCGAGCTTAATAAAACCGTTTAAAAAGTGTTAAACTTGTTAAAACCACTCACCCAACAACAGCACGGTCCCGTGCAGCCCATAGCTGTCCACCAGCTTCTCTATCAGCATTGGGAATACGAAACTCCCCGCTGCCGTTCCACTGACGCATATTCCGTTCGCCAGAGCCCTGAATTGGGACGGATATCAATCAATCAATTATACCAGTTCATTCTGTGTAAAGATATCTCGATTATACCTGTTCACTCTGTCTACATACACCCAGTAAAGTGGCTGTTGACATTATTATCAGGACCTGGATGGCCGAGTTTCGCTCAGATTTTATTCTCACGAACAAGGAACTTGAAAAAAAAGGGAAAAATTAAAAAAAAAAAAAAAAAAAAAGCAAAATTGCTAATTTTAAGTGCTGATTATCACTTGCTCGGCGGTGAAGGAAAACATCGGAAACCTGCGTATTTTCGAAATAATAATTTAAAAAAAATTGAAAATAACTGTGGACTATGCCCTGATACCCTCTTTACAGAGGCCTTTGCCCAGCAGTGGGACATTTATTGGCTGTTACTTTACTTTACTTTTCCACAAACGTTCCTTTACATTTTTTTTTGGAATTTAGCAACTGAAACATTTTAAATGTTTTCTAGATTTTTCTGTCCCATATAAAATTTACTGCAGTCTAGATAGAAGCGTGCTTCATTGCTGTAAAGATTTAACGGCTCCTTAAAGAATAACATTGTCTTTTTAATTTTATTGACCTGTAGTTAATTACTTGAGTAACTATTTTGATACCTTTAAAACGATGTAAGCAAAACGGACAACAGAAAGTGTCTGTGTATTGACGACTTATTTTTAACGATATTGTCTAAAATAAACTTAAAAATCAGCTCGGGGAATTTACGTGAGGTAAGTAATGTTTTTTTTTTTTTTTGTTTAACAAAAAAAAATATTTTTCGAAGATATGTGGAGTCCGCCAATCAGTGGGGCCGCTTGGTGGACTATGCCCTGATATCCTCTGTACAGAGGAGGCCTTTGCCCAGCACTTACTTTACTTTAAGTAATGTTTTTATGTACCTTGATTACCTGATACTTAGAAATTGGCCCACTGACAAAGCTAGCAGTTAGGTATGCGATCATAGTACATAGCAACACTACTCAATTTTACACATTTCCTTCGTCAGAAAATACGTGACGTTTTGCGGGCCTGGGATCTTGGACTATATACCTGTGTTTGTCGAAGTACTGTGATACGATGACGATGCCCGGAGTCGTGGACAAACCGCCACCGATACCTTTGAAGGAATACATTTATTACAATTAACATTGTCAAGATTGAAGCAGTGAAATAATAATAAATAAATATTTCGTGAGATACTTTTACACAACGTTATCTAGTCCCGTACTAAGCAAAGCTTGTACTATGGGTTCTAACTGATAAATATACCTAAAAATATTTTTCGAAAAATCGAACATAAAATTCGATTCCCACAGCGACGACAATCTGTTTCATACTTTTTCTACATATTTTAATGTTCAATCTTAAGTGCAGAGATTAACACTATAAAAAAATAAAATTTCCAATTAAATACATATCTTATCCTTTAAACGAGCAATTCTTGTATATATATATATACAGCGTGTCGTTACCATCGCGACAATAAATGAACACACGTCTAACGCTACTTGCCAATAATCATAAAAAAATATTAACGTTAAACAAAATCCATAATTAAAAAAAAAATTTTTTCAAACAAACTAATTAAGTAAAAAAGAAACAAAATTTGTAACATCCTATACAACTCGCGCCACAGCGTCGCATTACAAGCCTCTCCTTCTAACGTTATGTTTTGTCTCTTTTAAATCTATTCAAACCCATTCATATGCTTTGTGACCTTTACAAATGAACTTTACGTTACGCTTTTATAGGTAAGGGTGTTCTAAAATTCTTTGTTTTGGAAAATTGAATAACTCTGTAAATATTGATGTTTAAAGAATTTAAATGTTTAATACAACTTTAAAAAGTTATCCCCTATATGTGTGTTCATTTATTGTCGCAATGGTAACGCTGTATATAATCGGAATCTCGGAAACGGCTCCAGCGATTTTCATGAAATTTAGTATGTGCGTAGATTCGGGGGCGAAAAATCGATCTAGCTAGGTTTAATTTTCAGAAAATGCCCTTTTATCCCTGTTTTCGGGGAATGAAAAATATAATTCGAATAAATTTCACCGCAAGAGAAAATGTCATATTAGCTCGGTCGGTAATCGGGCGGCCACAAAACAAACGGCCGTGGTTCGCGTCACGATCATTTACACATTTATTTTTTTACTTTTTTTTTATTCCAGATCATTGCTTTTTTTTTATTTTTTGTCGATTTGTTATTTTGTTATTTTTTCACTTTTTTCTTTAGTGAAAAACATCAGTTCATATTTTCTTATTATTACGTCGGTAAGATCGAAAAATATTATGCATATTTCATTACTCGGTAATTTGTATCTAAATGTAATTTCCAAAATACACGATGTACCAAAAAAAAAAACAAACCGAGCAAAGCTCGGTCCTCCGGGTACTTATAGATATATAAACAGCCAGACACTGAACACACAATATTTTCCAATAGTGGGGATCGAAAACACACCCTACAATTCTTAAGAGCTCTTCACCATATTTATTTATTTCGCTATCACTACCTATATGTTCTGATCTCCATAGCTTTTTATCAAGTGCAGACTGTGTGAGATGGTTGCGGGCGCTGCCTCGATTCCTCACCGGTCATGACACCGAAGCTGAGCAGCAGATGGAGGAGACCGGTGCTGAAGAAGGAGAGAGCGAGACCCGTGGCGCAGAACAGGCCCCCGATGAACACCACCAGCCGGCAGGAGTACTTCTCGCAGAGCGCGGAAGAGAGTGGAGCTGGTGGGAGAAGCAAGATATGAGAAGGTGGCAAGCTAGCTGGCTGTTCACCCGATGTTAACTATACCGCCGCCCGTTGACATTTGCAACACCCGCACGGATGCAGATGCGTTGCCACCTTTTTTTAAAAAGTGCCGCGGCTATCTCAATCACCAGACGAATCGTAAAAGTGTAACATTACCACTTCACGCCGGTCTTCCGCGAGCTCGTGGTACTTACCCGGACCTGCCCATTCGTGCAACAGCCAACACCGTTGGCCCTACCACTTAGGATTAGCGGATTCTTCTAAAGGCATTTTAACATTCCTTGTCCTTCTGGGAGTTTTTGAGTTCTATAATTAAACGCAAAGAATGTAAGCATCTAACGCCTTCTATAAACTTATTGCATTTCAGAGCCAAGTTCAATTGTGATTCCGAAACGAAAAGAAGTTTTTAGCGAGCTTTAAAGGAACAAGATTTTAGCGAGTTAATAAAACTGTTAAAAAGCTGATAACGTTCAATTTCGTTTAATTTATTTCGAATATGATGATTCGATTTATCCTGTATTTTTATGATTTTCTTTAATTTTCTTTTTTCAATATTGCAGTTTATAAGTGTTAGTTATGACCATTAGATCAACATCCGGTTCTATTTAAACATCAGTTTTACAGCACTAAACTACTGCAGCGCCATTTTGACCTGGTTTAACATTACGCCATCCGGTATTTGTCACTTTTGTTTATCTTGTATTGCTTCTTTGATTAATGTGTTGTCGAATTAATTGCTTTTCTCTATTTCTATTAAGACGTTCGGCGGATCACATTAATTATTCACATCGAACATCGCCTGCTTCCAATTATTAACAACTAGCAAAGCCAAAATTTCCCCACGTTACGCGAAGTCCAAATTAGACGAAACGACAACACAAGAGAGAATGGGCAAAGGCGTTAAGTCCGCATTTGTGTTTATAAAGCCTATTGTGTTCCGATTTCTGGGTAATGTAATAAAGACAAAATAAATAAATAAATCGTAATGGCACTCGGGGACTGCCGCGATAATTTTTTTTTATAAATTACCTTTTTTCTTTGATTTTAATTCAAGTTACACTTTTTGATCGTGGTGACCGATAACAAAACAATTTTTTTATTGAATAAATGAGAAGTTAATATCATTTATCATTGAAACTATAGGTTTATAGTAACTGAAATAAGAAACATAAGTTTGACACTTGATATCCTGTTAATATCATATCATCATATGATAATATAATATTATAATATCATATTATAATATCCATCCGTGCGAGCATCGTACAGTCGTACCATATACATACACGTTAAGCGAACGCTCGGTCGAGCTACATGGTTGGCGGAGTGGGGTGTGTTAGGTTTTATTTTCGTTATGCAACTTCTCGATTGGTTCGCCGCGCTCAAAGCCCGCGATAAAAGCTATGCAATAGCTTAATAAACGACAGCGCAAAGCGCAAGGCTACTCACCGAGAGCCAGGCAGAGTGTCGACAGCGCGGCGGGTATCCACGAGGCGACGGACTCCGAGGAGTCCGGGAAGGTCTCCATTATCTCCACGTAGAGAACGCCGTAGGACTTGAACAGCCCCGCCACCCAGAACTGCACCATGAACGCGCCGAAGACCACCACCCAGCCGTATCCGCCGTCCGGCGGGCACGAGCTGACAAAAATAATATCCTTACTAATCCGTACTAATCCTCACTAATCCTTACTAATCCTTACTAATATTATAAACGCGGCAATAATATCCTTACTTCCTTACTAATATTATAAAGGCGAAAGTTTGTTTGTATGGATGGATGTTTGTTGTTCTTTCACGCAAATACTACTGAATGGATTATAACGAAACTTTACAATATTATAGCTTATACATCAGAATAAGACATAGGCTATAATTTATAGAGTAACATCCATCCATACATACAAACTTTCGCCTTTATAATATTAGTAAGGATATAGTTCATTACATCTTTCATTTTGAGCTAAGGATCCTACATAATGGTCCTTTCACCGTCTTGAAGAACTAGGAAATCGGCGATTGAGAGAAGTTGACGATACGCAATTAGTCGCAAGAAACAGTTGGCGGACCTCAAAATTTCTATTGGATGGGAATTAGACGTTCTGGGTGAGTTTCGTTCCAATTATTTTGCTGAGCTGGCGGCTCACCCGATGTTAGCTGAGTGGCTGCATCGCTGGCCAGTTTCGAATTTAAAAAAAAAATGGTGCGTGTACTTGTGTACGCGCGTGAGAAGTTACACTTCTTTGGCATCATTAAAATAGTTTTTAATTGCATGCAAATAATTAATTACAATAAAATAATAGAAAGATTGGAAAGGGACTGAAACTGAATTTATATAAATGATAAAATTATGAAAGCAGATTGCTTTCTACATTCTTTATTGAGAACTGTAACGGACGAATGCGATTGAGAACATGCTGCCATCTATATATAATAAGCAGTTTAGCCGGCAGTTTCAAACTTTTTTTGCGCGCGCATCTTATAATTTCACTCTCATCATTTTTCCATAACGCGCCCAAAGGAATATAACTTTAGAAATGATAACTGCCGCCCATGGACATCTGCAACACCCGTAGCATGGCAGATGCGTTGCCACCTGTTAAGTAATGTACCTCACTCACTAGACGAAACGCATCCATTTCAAGCAATTAATAATATCTTATACTTTAAACGAGCAATTCTTGTATATATATATTTAATTGGAATCTCGGAAACGGCTCCAGCGATTTTCATGAAATTTAGTATGTGAGTAGATTCGGGGGCGAAAAATGGATCTGACTAGGTTTCATTTCTAGAAAATCTCGTTTTATTTCACTTTTCAGGGAATGAAAAAAAAATGTTATAATAGCTCGGTCGGTAGTAGGGCGGCCTCGGGCGGCCGCTAACAAACAGCCACGAAGCAGAAGGCCGTGGTTCGTATCACGATCATTTACACACTTATTTTTTTACTTTTTTTCGATTCCAGATCATTGCTTTCTGTATTTGTTATTTTTTGTCGATTTGTTATTTTGTTATTTTTTTCCCTTTTTTTTTAAAGTTCTTTCTTTTGTGAATGTGTGTGTTCTTCGTTTCTCGGTCCTCCAGGTACTAGAAATTTAAACAAATAATTTTTTTCTTGTATAAATTAATAATATTTTTTATTTCTTATAATATAGTGGGCCACGGCTACCTCACTCACAGACGAAACGCAGAAGTATGACACCCCCACTTGAGGCTGGCCTTCTGTGAGTGGCCCTACCACTACCAAACACCACTTACTCGGCTGAGTCCGGTCGAGGGCGGAGCTTCCTAGACGCGGCCAGAAGAGGTCGCGCCGTGACGGAAGAGAGCGTCAGCAAGGAGTCCTCCTCTTGCTCCGTCGGTGACATAGCCGACAAGTAGGCGCCGACTTGCTGCAATATAAATCTTTCATCGTCATCGTCATCCCAGCCTGTTTGAGTCCACTGCTGAACTTAGGCCTCCCCCACAGACTGCCACCATCCTGAGCCACCTGCATCCATCGACTTCCCGCACATTTTTACGGGACGTCACTCCATCTAGTGGGGAGTCGTCCTATACAGCGTGTCGTTACCATCGCGACAATAAATGTACACACGTCTAACGCTACTTGCCAATAATCATAAAAAACATGAACGTTAAACAAAATCCATAATTTAAAAAAATGTATTTTTTAAACAAAGTAATTAAGTAAAAAAGAAACAAAATTTGTAACATCCTATACAACTCGCGTCACAGCGTCGTATTACAAGCCTCTCCTTCTAACAGTGTGTTTTGTCTCTTTTAAATTCATTCAACCCATTCATATGCTTTTTGACCTTTACAAATGCACTTTACGTTACGCTTTTATAGGTGAGGGTGTTCTAAAATTATTTGTTTTGGAAAATTTAATAACTCTGTAAATATTGATGTTTAAAGAATTGAAAATTTTAATACAACTTTAAAAAGTTATTCCCTATATGCGTGTTCATTTATTGTCGCGATGGTCACGACACGCTGTATACATCTTTAAATATATAAAAATTTCGTGTAACGTGTACGTTGTTTGTCCGCGATGAACTACTAATCTACTGAACCGATTTTAATCAAATTTTGCACACTGTGTGCAGTTTAATCCAACTTGAGAGATAGGATAATTTATACCTCAATTTATAGTAGCAATATTTTTTTATTGCAAATTGAATCCACTTGAACAAACACAAAGACATTCACGAAAATCTATCCAGCCGTTTCGGAGTTCAGTGAGATGCACAGAAGAATTACGTCCCTACTTTAATATTATAAATTGTGAATGTAAGTTTGTTACGCTTTCACGCCAAAACTACTCAACTGATTATCATAAAACTTTGTACACATATTCTTAAAGGCATTAAAAAGGACATGGGAATCTTTTTATTACAAAGAAATATGTTTTATAAAAAGATATGGCCGAATGTGGCCGCAGGTAAAAGCTATTATACATATAACAAGTAGAATATCATTTAAATAACAAAAAAAATCCGACTGCGTTCCTGTGTAATTTTTTTGCTTTTATATACCCAGTGTCACTCTCATAGTAAATACGAATCTAACGACACCTCTCAAGCTAAAATCCATCAAGCATACACACATAACTATCGGTTATGTCTTTCGAGAGCATGTTTATTTGCATGTATGCATGGAGATACATGCAAACATACATACTCTCGAAAAACATAACCCTCCTTCTGGCGCAGTCAGGTGATAAATATAAAGGTACACGAGAAGCCACGTCGAAACTAACCGTGGCTAATGGCAGCTCGAGGAGGAGACTCGCCGGTCGCTCCCTCTGCTCTGTCGAGAGGATCCTCTGCTCCGGCGGCGCTGACTGCACCGACAGCAGTGAGCCGGCATTATCCGGCGAGAGGGCCGCCTGCGGGCGAGGGTTTGCCAAGCTTAACGCGTCGCGATAGAATTCAAATTGCAATGGCAACAGTTCAGCAGAAATAACGCTTTCAACACCTTAGGGGCAACCATTAATCACGTGAGGATCGAAAGGGGGGGGGGAGCGGGCTTGGCAAAAATCACAAAATATCACGAGGTGAATGGGGGGTGTAGTTGTATATCACGTATATTTAAGCGACGTGTAGTGTGATCTTGGTCCGCCGTTAATTTTTTCATAATAAAATTAGATTATACTGTATAACTTTTATTATAGATAATATTCTAAAAAGTTACTAAAAAATACACGTGATTTTGGGTGGGGGTTTTTCGGGGGTAGTCTTAAACCTCACCACGGGGGTGGAGGGGGTTAAAACAGCTAAAAAAAACATCACTTGATTAATGGACGGCCCCTTAGTAGCTACAAGGAATTTACGATGAACCTATTAAATCTGCTATTAATACCAAATAGGTCATTTTACCAATAGGTCATTAATAATCAATTATCTGAGTTATACCTTACCAGATTTATACTCTACCTGCAAATGAAATCTTTGAAATCAAACAGAAAGAGGAGACGTAGGTTATCCTTCATAATTATACAGAAGAGGACCGCAACGCCAATGACATTAATAAAGTTCAGTGGCACATCAAATACTTAAACTAATTTAATTCTTGCTTGGAAAGACTTCTTCGGCTTTCGCGCTTTCTTGAAAAGACATTTATCAAGCCATTAAAAATATTCGCAGGTGTGAATACAGATAGATTTTTGTAAACAAATTTAGCAAAAGCTCACTAAGAGCTATTTTTACTAACCTCTACATTCTAAGCAACAACAGATACGCTTTAGGTACTGCTGCACGAGTAAGCCGCCTAAACTGGGTTAATGCCTGTGGTGGCTTCACAAACTGGCGTTATGTAAAAGCATTTATACTTTCCATTTCGTTTGGTGAGTGAAAAGCCCACGCTCTCAATTGTTGGTAAGTCTTCGTCAACATCTCTGGTCGAAACGTCCCCACAACTTGTCACACAGGTCACGAACATGGCATCCAACCTAACGCCTACAGAGGGTAAATTCACGACCCAAAGCGCTTCTCACCGCTCCCAGCCAACGAATGAGCTAAACGGCCGATTGCCACGCCAACGAAAATCTCAAACGCTTATCTACATTGTTTCTCCGCATTTCAAGCAATCTATTGTTATATCCTTTACACCATAGAAACAATTTAAACCCGATGTGTAAGACTGCTTTAGGTCACCTCGGCGATCGCGTCCGATGCCGGCAGGTCGATGGAGCAGGAGAGGGGAGCGGGCGAGGTAGGGGGCGCTGATGAGCCGAGCACCTGACCTTCGAGCCTCGCCAACTCCTGTAAAGAGAAGACATCCTTTGTCCAAGTGTCTTATAATATACCAGCGGACCCAACAGACGTTGTCCTGTACTGAATGATTACTTCTTGGCCCCCGTAGGTCTTGGCGTGATGTTAAATACGCTATAACCTTCCTCAAGAATTGGGCGGATGTAAAAAGATCTCTTCAAATCCGACTGGTATTTCCAGAGATTAGCGCGTTCAAAGAAAGAAACTCTTCAGTGACTCCGTGGCGTAGTTGCCAAAGTATTGGCTTCGGTGTCGGGGGTCGTGGCTTCGATTCCCACACGGGACAACTATTTCTGTGTCCCGCAGACAGTTGTTTCGCATCTGGGTGTTTTTCCGCGTGAAATCTATGTTTGTAAAATGTCCTTACAACACAGGATTATGTTCTATCCTAAAGCAAGGGCAACGTATTTGAAAAAAAAACGAAAATCCAAGATTGTGGACTTCAGAAAAGAAATTCTAAAAGATTTGTGACAGAAAGAAATCGTGTCCGCTCGAAGGCGTTAAATAAGCGAGAGAGTGAATATTGTTCCCTCTCAATTTCAAGAAACCTGTGTCAAAAAAAGTATGTTAAGATGTTTGGTAAATTAATTCATTTTTGATAACGAAGCATTAAAAAACTAGTAATAGATTCTCCATTGTTACAATATATGCACTTTTAATTTTTGGTAGAGAAAAACCCAACAAAGTACAGAAAACTGTAAATAAACTGTAAGTCTATTGCAAGACATGAGAACCAAGCTCAATGAAGGAACAAGACTAGGTTGTTGTAGGAGGCCTCGTGGCCCACGGAACTAACATTTTTGTATGAAAATAGCGTGTAGTGGCCTGTAAAATAGGTTTGAATCTAAGTTGTGGCTACCATACTGAACCGGTGGTTCAGTGTGGTTTGGCTCACAGGTGACCCGCGAGGCTCCAATGAAAAGTACTATACTTTTAAGTTGCGTTCAACGTGTTAAGCGTCCATTACGTAATGGATTCGAACAGCAGAAATGCCAACGTAAGGTTTCTTAAATTATTCTATTGAATCAATCATTTGCTGCCACAAGTTGTGGAATTAACTGTTCACAACTTCACGTTATACCTGTAATAGACAAATTATGACATAAATAAATAAATATTATGTACTTATTTCTCTATGGCATTTTACGAACTGTGCCATTAGTGAATCATATAAGCATTACTCCAGTATTAGTATATATATGAATATAATATATGAACTTATTGTATTCTTTACACGTGAAAAATGCGTCTTAAAAGCTCGTAAAGGTCAGTAGCTTTTTAAAATTAGTGACCCTAACGACCTTTTAAAATAATGTTCCTCGCTTTTTCTGGAAAGATCTAAATTTGCGAACCAAAGTTGGTTTATGAAACAGTCCGTGCCATATTACCTGTATAGTGTAGTTTTAGCTTTATTTAAATGTAGTAGTTTATTTAATTTATGTAATTTCAGTGTAGTATTTTATGTAATTTCAGTATAATATATTTCTAAAGCTCCCTATTTATAATTTTTAATTCGATCGTTTGCTAATTGTTTCGTTGCAATATGAGTTTAAGTGCAAACTCGCTGAGAAGTTCACCTCTATGACAATGGTCGTTCGATCGCTACTCAGCTGTATTTTTTTTTAAATAATGATTTTATGGGCTGGTAACAAGAGCTTTAAGCCAAATACTCAGATGTAGAATTTTTCGGCCACTTGCTTTAATATAAGTTTGGATGTTGCTGTACATTAACTTCATATCTTACAAGCTAAATCCGGCCACGCTTCGCTGTGGCTTTTCATTTGAAATTGGAACATCGAAGTAAAAAGTGTGTCATACCCTCCTGTTCAATATGAAGTTCATCCATCAGGTTAGTTATTGAATTTTGTGGACACGAAAACTGTGGACTTTTAACTAAGAGAAGCTCGCTGGGCGTAGTAACACGGCCTCACAGAAGACCGGCTTTTTTTTATTGTTATAGATACACCAACAGTATACATATTTACACAACTTACACAAAAAGGAAAAAATAAAAAACATTGGACCCAATAAGTACACCGATAACAGGTGTGTACAACATTTACAATATTGTGACAAAGTTTAATAAACAAAAAAAACTTTAACTTTCAGCTTTCGGCTTTCAGTAACATTTGTTAAATAATTCAGGACATATTCAGGACATATTACATAGCATTATCTAGTCTCAAACTAAGCAAAGGTAGTATGGATACTGGGTAGCTGATAAACATACTTAAATGTACTTTTATTTTGTAAATAAGTACATATCATACGTATATAAGCAGCCAGACACTGGAAAAAGACTATGTTCATCACACAATATTTTGCCAGTAATGGGGATCGAACCCACACTGTGTCATAAGAAACGGGTATAGTATACACTACGCCCCTCGGGTCGTTGTTTTGACACGAGTGTGTATATATATATATATATATATATATATATATATATATTTTTTTTTTTTTTTTTTTTTAAACATTGCCCTTACTTTAGGATAACATTATCCTGTGTTGTAGGGACGTTTTACAAACATAAATTTCACGCGGACAAACGCCCAGATGCGAAACAACTACCTGTGGGTCACACAAATAGTTGTCCCGTGTGGGAATCGAACCCACGACCCCCGACGCCGAAGCCAATACCTTGGCAACTGTGCCACGGAGTCATCACGGAGTCATCTTGTATCTTGTATTAACTGATGTTTTTGCTTTCAGTCCCGAGACTATTAAAGCTTCATCTGACACGGAACCGGTGGGCTAGCCAGTACCCACGGGTTTGTGAGTACACGAGTAAATTGGCGAGTTCAGCTGCTTTCATAAACGTGACATCCTTCGTTCACTGCAATTTGATCGATAACCGCCCACGTTAACTCCGCAGCAAGGCGCAGTTTGGCTTAAGGCCAAATTTCCACCCTTTTGGTGATTACAGTAAAAAAGGTTTCACGAATTGTACTGTAGTCCACGAATCAAACATCCATGCTTCCATAATAATATTATAAACTAGCTGCTGCCCGCGACTACGTCTGCGTAGAATAGGATGAAGGCGTAACATTCAGACAGAAAGACAAGAAAGAGTCAGTATGTAATGTATAAATTACGTCTTATTCTGATGTATAAGCTATAATATTGAAAAGTTTCATTAAAATACATTCAGTAGTATTTGCGTGAAAGAGTAACAAACATCCATCTATACATACAAACTTTCGCCTTTATAATGTTAGTAAGTAAAATGCGAAAGTAACTCTGTCTGTCTGTCTCGCTTTCACTCCAAAACTACTGAACCGATTTAAATGAAATTTGGTACACAGATAGGCTGTTTTTTTAAATGGATTTTTTTAAAGAAAAATATTTATTTAAGGGCTTCTACGCGAATGAGGCCGCGGGCGAAAAGCTAGTTTAAAAATATGTATAAAAAAATAAGTAAATTAATGTAAGTATGGGTGGCGATATATTTATTCATTGAACAAGATATGTAGCGAGGTAGATAAGGAAGCACGATATGGACGCGAATCAATGGCGGATTTACCAGGTGGCAAATATGTAAATCCGCCACTGACGCGGAAACATCTGACGTAGCATCTCTTTTAATGCTAACCAAGTCTAGTAATCTACCTATTGTAACCCAACTGCCGACACATATGCCGTGGCTGGCGCTGTCGTGCTGCGGAGAGGTAACTGACCTTAAATATGGGCCAAAGTTCAAATGAAATAAGCTCCTACACTATTTAGCGAGATGGTCAGAAACAAAAATATTTTTGACACTCATTACATTAGTCATTCGATGACTGATTAAACAATTACAAGAGAAATTAGTTAAATCCTAATAACATATATAAATTGTTTTTCACGTTGTTTTTCCGCAATGGACTCCTAAACTACTTAACCGATTTTATTCAAATTTGCATACTGTGTGCTGCTTGATACAACTTGAAAGATAGGATTTTATGCAAATTATTTGTTTATTATACGACAAATTATCTGTGAGTTCCATAAGATTTTAACAGATGGCGGTGTAAGCTAAATATTTTCTGCTGGATTGAGTAAGTAACCAATAGATGGCGCTATGTTAAAAGTCGAAACGTATGGACCCGGGCGATTTGGCGCAGGCGAAGTTACATGGGCCAGCCAGCATATTTATAGATGTGGTGACCACGTTTTTGATCGTCAGGCAATGCACTTGCTGTTTCGCTTTTCCATCTTTATAAGCTCATCGAAATGTGAACACTGTAACTCTATGCTCACCCTGTTTTAGGAAGACGCGAAAGTTTGTACGTAACTTGTATTGAAACTTGACATAAATGACTGAATTGAATTCTAAATTAAATAAGGTATTATTCTATTTCTTCCTTTAAAAAGATGTACATATAGCAAAGATGATAGAAGCTTTAAGTATAATTGATACGGCTGGTATCTATTATTGTGTTCTCTGAGTGAATTCACAAAGATTGCGTTAATAATTTGTTGTGGATATAGTAAATAAATAATTTCTATTTATTCTTTCCTTGTGTTGTAATGATAGTGTAAAGTTTTGCAACTAAAAAAATAAATTATTATGCAAATAATTATTAAAATCAGATACGTCTAGATCTGGAATAATTGTCTGTGGGTGGCGTTACCATACGATGTGTTCCAACACTATGCATTACTTACTAGATGTGGGTGTGCTATCATTTGATAGCGACCCATCGATCAACTTGCGTTGCCTACAAGTGACCTTCAAACGCCAGAAATGACCTCCCTTCCCATTAATTAATGGACACAAGTGACTGGTCAGAGGTTAATTTGTTATTTACGACCTACCACGCCTTAAAGGAACCCATCGAAGTTGCATCGTTAAAACATTGCAGTGCAAATTTATTTAGGCGCACCCATTGGCGTATCAAGGGTTATTTTTCAGGGTGGGCCTGGGCCTTTACTGCTTCGCATTATAAAAGTAATAGTTCGTTATCGTTAATATTTTTTTTTAATTTCTTTTTTAAAATAGTATGTAATAA